TTTCATTTACGAGTTTTTTTAATGTTTCTTGCCAGATGTGTATATTAATACACACACACACACACACAAATATTAAATTTTTGAGTTCTCATAATTTTCTTGTCAATATATGTGTACTTAACACACACACACACACACAAAAATGTTAAGTCTTGAGTTTTTTTAAATTTCTTGCCAAGATGTGTGTATTAACAGACACCAAATAAAATGTTAATTTTTTTTAGTTTTTTCAATTTTTTTGTCAAGATGTGTGTACTTAACACACACAAGAAAATGTTAAAGTTTCGAGTTTCTTTCCAAGAATATTTTCTTCTTTAGTTTGCAGGACCAATTTCTTTATTTTCTTGTCAAGATTTGTGTATTATTATCACACCCACAAGAAAACGTTTAATATGTGAGTTTTTAAATTTTCCTGTCAAGATATGCGTATTAACATACAAAAATATGTTAAATTTGCAAGTTTTTTTAATTTTTCTTGCCAAGTTGTGTGTATTAACACAACACAAGAAAAACTTATATTTACGATTTTTCTTAATTTTCTTGTCATGATGTGTGTATTAACATACACACAAAAAGTTAAGTTTTTGAGTTTTTTAATTTTCTTGCAAAGATGTATGTATTAACACACATATAAAAAAATGCTAAATTTCTGAGTTTTTTTTTTAAAATTTCTTGTCAAGATATGTGTATTAACACACACAAAAAATGTTCAATTTGCGAGGTTTTTAATTTTTCTTGTCAAATTTTCGAGTTTTTTTAAAAAAATATTTGTCGAGATATGTGTATTAACACACACACAAAAAATATTAAATTTTGTAGTTTTTTTATTTTCTTGCCAAGATGTGTGTATTAACCCACACAAAAGAAATTGAGTTTTTTTAATTTAATTGTCAAGATATGTGTATTATTAACACACACACAATGAAATGTTAAATTTTCGAGTTTTTTAATTTTCTTGTCAAGATATGTGTATAAAAACAAACAAGAAAATGTTAAAATTTTGAGTTTTTTTTTTTTAATTTTCTTCTCAAGATATATGTACTAGCACACACATAAAAAATGTTAAAATTTTGAGTTTTTTTAATTTTCTTGCCAAGATGTGTGTATTAACAAACACACAAGAAAACATAAAATTTTTTGAGTATTTTAAATTTTCTTGTCCAAATATGTGTTTTAACACACATATAAAAATGTTCAATTTTAGAGTTTTTTAAATTTTCTTGTCTATATATGTGTATTAAGACACACATAAGAAAATGTTTAATTTTCGAGTTTTTTATTTTTCCAGATGTGTATGTATTAACACACACAAGAAAATTTTAAATTTTTGAATATTTTAATGTTTTTGCCAAGATGTGTGTATTAACACACACACAAAAAAATATTAAATTTTTGGCTTTTTTGTTTTTTTTATTAAAATATGTGTGTAAACACACAAAATATGTTAAATTTTCTATTATTTTAATTTTCTTGCCAAAATGTGTGTAGTAATACACACATAAGAATATAATTAATTTTTGAGTTTTTTTAAAAAAAGTTCTTATCAAGATGTGTGTATTAACAAACACATGAAAATATTAAAATTTTCAAGTTTCTTTGAGGGAATTTTTGCCTTTTATGTTTGCAGGACTAATTTTTGTATTTTCATGTCAAGATGTGTGTATTAACACAGACATAAGTAAACATTAAATTTCCAAGTTTTTAAATTTTACTGTCAAGATATGAGTATTAACAAACACATAAGAAAATATTTAATTTTCGAGTTTTTTAAATTTTCTTTTCCAGATGTGTGTGTGTTAAATTTTTGAGTATTTTAATTTTTTTGCCAAGATGTGTATATTAATATACAAACAAGAAAATGTTAAATTTTTGGGTTTTTGTTTTTTTTTTTTTTTATCAAAATATGTGTACTTAAACACACAAAATATGTTAAATTTTTGATTATTTTAATTTTTTTGCCAAAATATGTGTAACACACAGATAAGAAAATAATTAATTTTTAAGTTTTTTTAAAACTTTTCTTGTTACGATGTGTATTAACAAACACAAGAAAATATTGAAATTTTCAAGTTTCTTTTAGGGAATTTTTGCTTCTTAAGTTTGCAGGACTAATTTTTGTATTTTCATGTCAAGATGTGTGTATTAATACAGACATAAGTAAATGTTAAATTTCCGAGTTTTTAAATTTTACTGTAAATATATGTATATTAACAAACACATAAAAAAATGTTTAAGTTTTGAGTTTTTTAAATTTTCTTTTCCAGATGTGTGTGTTAACACACACACAAAAAAATGTTAAATTTTTGAGTATTTTAATTTTTTTTCCAAGATGTGTATATTAACACACACACAAAAAAATGCTAAATTTTTGGGTTTTTGTTTTTTTTTATCAAAATATGTGTACTAAAACACACAAAATATGTTAAATTTTCGATTATTTTAATTTTCTTGCCAAAATGTGTGTAGTAACACACACATAAGAAAATAATTAATTTTTGAGTTTTTTTAAAATTTTTCTTGTCACGATGTGTATTAACAAACACAAGAAAATATTAAAATTTTCAAGTTTCTTTCAGGGAATATTTCCTTCTTAATTTTCCAGGACTAATTTTTGTATTTTCATGTCAAGATGTGTGTATTAACACAGATATAAGTAAATGTTTAATTTCTGAATTTTTAAATTTTATTGTCAAGATATGTGTCTTAACACACATAAAAAAATGTATATAACGCGTGTTTTTTTCAGCTCTGCCCCAATATGCTCTCCAAGAAGTGGTGTTGATCGACACTTTGCTCTAATATGCTCTCCGACTTGGTCTTTTCAGCATCAATTTTAACATAGATCCAAATGGTTTCAAAATATCTTATTAGGTTCCAAACATACCTGAACCTACAAAGACTCTAAAAGACTCGAAATATACCAAAAAGACTCTATAAAAGGGACTTATATTTCAGCAACAGGTCAAAACCATGATATATCACGAGAATTTTTATTTTTCTTTTCAAGATGTGTGTATTAATATACACACAAGAAATTGTTAAATTTTCAAGTGATTTTTTTAATTTTCTTGTCAAGATATGTGTATTAACACACACACACACACACACACAAATAATATTAAATTTTGTAGTTTTTTATTTTTTTGCCAAGACGTATCTATTAACACACACAAAAGAAAATGTTAAATTTTTGAGTTTTTTAATTTTCTTACCAAGATGTGTGTATTAGCACACACACAAGAAAATGTTAAGTTTCTGAGTTCTTTAAATTTTTCTTATCAAAATATGTGTACTAACGCACACACAAAATATGTTAAATTTTCGAATTTTTTTAATTTTTTTGCCAAGATATGTGTATTAACACACACATAAAAAAATGATAAATTTTTGAGTTTTTTTTTTAAATTTTCTTGTCAAGATGTGTGTACACAAGAAAATATTAAAATTTTTTAGTTTCTTTCAGGGAATTTTTCCTTTTTAAGTTTGCACAACTAATTTTATTATTTTTTGATCAAGATGTGTGTATTAACACACACATAAGTAAATGTTAAATTTTCAAGTTTTTCAATTTTATTGTCAAGATATGTGTATTAACACACAAAAAATGTTTAATTTACGAGTTTTTTTAATATTTATCGCCAAGACACACAAGAAATGTTAAATTTTTGAGTTTTCATAATTTTCTTGTTAATATATATGTACACACACGCACGCGTACACACACACGCACGTACGCACGCACACACGCACACACGCACACATGCACACACACGCACGCATGCACGCACACACACGCACACACGCACACACGCACACACGCACATACGCACACACGCACACACGCACACACGCACACACGCGCGCACACACACACACACACATTCTTGCCAAGATGTATGTATTGACACGCACAAGAAACTGTTAAATTTTAGACTTTCTTTAGGAAATGTTTTCCTTCCAAGTTTGCATGACTAATTTTTTTATATTCTTGTCAAGATGTGTGTATTAACACACACACAAGAAAATGTTAAATTTCTGAATTTTTAAATTTTCTTGTCAAGATATGTGTATTAACACACACAAAATAATGTTAAATTTGCTAGTTTTTTAATTTTTCTTGCCAAGATGTGTGTATTAACACACACACAAATAAAAATATCAATTTTTTGAGTTTTTTAAACTTTCTTGTGAAGATGTGTGTATTAACACACACACAAGAAAATGTTATATTTTTGAGTTTTTCAAATTTTCTTGTGAAGATGTGTATTCAAACACACAAAAGAAAATGTTAAATTTTCATATTTAATAATTTTCTTGCCAAGATGTGTATATAACACACACACGAAAATGTTAAATTTAGTTTTTTTGGGGAATTTTTCCTTCTTAAGTTCATGGGTCTAATTTTTTTTATTTTCTTGTCAAGATGTGTGTATTAACACACACACACAAAAAATATAAAATTTTCAAGTCTTTTAATTTTTTGCCAAGATGTGTGTATTAACACACCCATAAGAAAATGATAAATTTTTGAGTTTTTTTTTTAAAAAAATTCTTGTCAAGATGTCTGTATTAACACATACAAAAAAAAAATATTAGATAGTTAAATGTTTTAACTTTTTTACCAAGATGTATGTATTAACACACACACACAAAACATGTTAAATTTTTATTTATTTTTTTAATTTACTTTCCAAGATGTGTGTATTAACACACACATTAGAAAATGCTAAACTTCTGAGTTTTTATTTTAAATTTTTTTATCAAGATATGTGTATTAACACATACATACGAGAAAATGTTATTTTTAAGTTTTTCGTTAATTGTTTTATCAAGATATATGTATTAACACACACAAAAAATGTTTAATTTTTGAGTTTTTTAGTTTTCTTGTGAAGATGTGTTTATTAATTACACACAAAAAATGTTTATTAAATTTTTTGAGTTTTCTTAATTTTTTCTGTCAAGATATGTGGAAACTGATCTAGATCTGTTTTCTATTAGTTGGTTTTGATTAACGTATTTGCAATTGTGAAGGTAAGTTTTGTACTAGAGAAAGATAGCCCACAGACTTAAAATACTATTAAACGGGAATGTATAGTTTAGGAATACTAAAACACTACATGTAATAAACAATTACACAGAGATACTAGGCAGTAGTATTAAACAGTACATGTCACACGCACATATATGCGTGTGTAGATAGATCGTCTTGCATCAAGATAGATTATTACTGAAATTGATTTGACTAGGCAGAGAATTTGCTTTGACGGATAGGTTTCAGACCTTGATCTTAGGCTTCTTCACGATCATCACAGAGCAATGAGCATGATGCGCACAGTAGTCGCTCACGCTCCCGAGAACCGCCCTGTGGCAAACCGACAAGTGATGATGATGGTGAATGTCACGGGAGAACCGGAAAACTAAATAAAATAGTGGTTGAAAGATGGATACAAGAAGGCTGAATGAAAATACCTCTTGATAGCTCCATATCCATGGCTTCCCACAACAAGAAGAGAAGCATGGTGTTTATCCACAACTTCGCATAGGATGTTTCTTGCATCGCCTTCGAAAACTTCGATCACGGTGCCATGAACCTACACAGCAAACCTATAAGGATTGAAAGGAAGGTGGTTGCGCCTGGGAGCTAACCCAAGATAAGACAAAATCTAGTGCTTCTTAGCTTGAAGCTTTTTATATCATTTAGTGTTGTAGAGAATCACAATTACACACCAATACATGATGATGGTGAAAAAATCAGAGAACTAAAAGGATATCAATTTCTAAGTAAATTTTCTCTTCAAATAATATTGATAGAAAGTATGATGAATAATGAAGGCAGGAAGGAATCCACAAACCGATTTGCTCTGACAAAGAGCTTTGGCTTTGTCGACAACCCTAGCAGCTGTATGCTTCAAATCGGCATCAACATAAGGCACAACCTCCGCAGTTCCTAACCAAATAAAATAAAAGCCCAAAATGATTTGTCTCTGATGTTTCATATTCATTCATCCTCTAGAAACAGAACAGTGTGTTACCGGGACCGGCGAGACCAACGGCGGAGACGGCGTTAGGTTTGGCGTGGACGATGAAGAGCTTGAAAGGGAAATTGGGAGCGTAGGGAGCGAAGAAGCGATCGAGCGTCCACTCCAATGCGTAAGTGCTCTGCTCGCTCTCGTCGACCCCGACGACCATCACCGGCTTCTCCTCTCCGGTAGCCATCAATCTCTCAACTGATCTGTGGCGTGAAGGAAACGCGCCTCTTGATTATGCTTAGAAAGAAACGCCTAGAGGGATGATGATGATTCCTATGTGTTGTTTGAAGCTGAGAGAAAGAGCTTTCCCCTGTTTTTGTATCTATAAAGTAAAAACAAATAAATAAAAGGAAAAGAGAGTTTGTGTACAAGTGAAAGAGGAATGCGATTCTCTTTGATGACGTGGATGGTCCTCGTTGATTCGTAAATTCTCTGATGCGACCGACTATTTTGAATTTAACGTGGCCCAGTATGAGTTTGGCGGCCCGGAAGGCCCAAAGTAGCACGATAATTTGGAGACATGGAGGGTGTGGTATTTACGAAGGAAGATTGTACCAACACTAAAACTGTTAGGTCTATGAAATAAATGCGCAGGCCAAATACATTAAGTTACCATTGTAACGAAATTTATGAATGAAGAAGAATCCCATCAGCTGAAGATATTTGTAGAGGTTTTCTACAATGGTAACATTTGATAAAAACTGACGTCACTGATGAATCACACGACTTGACGTCTTTCTTTAAAACCGTGGGGGTCTGTCGGTAGTCCTTTTTCTTTGTCCTGCCCGGTATATAATATTGGGTTATCTTCGTTATATATGTACTATACTGTATCATTTTAAATATCTGAAATATCTGGAAAGAAAGATGGATCGAACATTCGTTTCTACATGAGCTTCATCTCACTCTTACAATCTTCTTTTAACAAAGTTTATTCTTTGCTTAAGCATACAAAAAAAAAGCATACAAAAAAGGCAATGAAGATAATGATGTGATTGTATAGTAAATGGTTAATTATGTTTCTGACGAAAATAAATAATGACATAAATAAAGCGCTTATCACGATTTTATATGGTGTTATATATTATATACTTAATACAAAATGTGAGATAATGTGGATAAAGAAAAAAGTAATTAAGAGGAAAATAAAAAGCAAAAAAAAAAAAGAAGAGAGAGAAGGTGGAGACGTGGTGGTGAGAAGTTTCTGGATAGACAAACCCAACAAATGGCAGCAAGACTTGTTCTTCTTCCCTTGGCTCCTCCTATAAAACCTCCTCATTCACCCCTCCAGATTTCTCCATCCCTTTCCAATTCCAATTCCATTTTCAGAACCAAATCTTCAACCCAGTCTCCGACGATCCCAATCACCATGGCCGGCATCAAGGTTCACGGAGTTCCCATGTCCACCGCCACCATGCGCGTCCTCGCCGCTCTCTACGAGAAGGATCTCGATTTCGAGTTAATCCCCGTCGACATGCGGGCCGGTGCTCACAAGCAGGAGCCCTTCCTTTCCCGCAACGTAACTTTCTCATTTCTATAATCATCTTTTGGTCTTCATTATATATATATATATATATATATATATCAATCATATCTGACGTTTTCTTCTCCTCTGTTTGATTCAGCCGTTCGGTCAAATTCCTGCTCTCCAAGATGGTGACTTGACGCTTTTCGGTGAGTGCTTTTTTATATATCTTCACTCAAAAGTGGTTGGTGATCAGTCACCCTCTCACCATGATTGCCCAGAAACTAAATCAGATCTCCTGATCTTGACTCTTGATCATGATTACACCCACATTTTGAATTGATCTGAAATGACACTCTGCGATTTTGGGTGATTTGCAGAGTCAAGAGCCATCACAGAGTACATAGCAGAGGAATACAGCGAGAAAGGTGAGAAGCTCATGTGCCCAGGCTGCAAGAAAGTGAAGGCCATCACCAAGGTGTGGCTTGAAGTTGAAGGTCAGCAGTTTGACCCTGTCGCCTCCAAGATTGCCTTCGAGCGTATTTTCAAAGGCATGTTCGGCATGACCACCGACCCAGCCGCCGTCGCAGAGCTCGAAGGCAAGCTCGTCAGGGTCCTCGACATCTACGAGGCCAGGCTCGCCAAATCTGACTTCCTCGCTTGCGATTGCTTCACTCTCGCTGATCTTCACCACCTCCCAGCCATCCATTACCTGATGGGCACCGACTCCAAGAAGCTCTTCGAGTCTCGCCCTAAGGTTAGCGAGTGGGTCAAGCGGATCACTGCCAGGCCAGCCTGGGCTAAGGTTGTCGACCTCCAGAAGCACTGAACAAGACTTTTGTCCTGCTTTTCTTTTTTGCTTGAGCTTTTCCTTGTGCCAAATAAAAATGACTGTCTTTGTTGCTTGTGTAATGAGGAGCTACTTGTGTGTGTTCTCAGTATTGTATCCTTTTCCTGCTTCTGCACGATTTTAATTTATCTTTTCTTGTTTTAGTGTCGTCTATGTAACTGGAAAATAGCATCCTGCTTCCAATATAAACCGAACCGGATTCATCTCCGAAACGAATATATAAACGCAACACTTCTAGGAAGAAGCAGCCAAAGAAGAAGATAAGTTGCTCTGCAATTGCCTAATGCCTTGTGAGCCAAGAAAGGTTGTGTTTCCCTTGAGAAAAGCAGAGTACCAATGAGCAGAGAGTTTGGGAGATCTCTTGCGATGAGGATCGCTGGAATTCTCAAAACTGTACTACGTGTATCCACTCAGTAACTCATACAAGTCCATAAATGACCACACAAAATAGCTTCTCGTGACTGATCCATTCCTACACGTAGTAATTGTCTTGTTTTCTTTATTACACCAACAGAAACAGAGAAGACAAGATGCAGTTAAAAACACTTGACTTACCTAACGGCTTTGAGCATAGCACCAATGACCAATGTAAGCTTGTAAGAAGTCGACCCTTGGTGTCTCCTTCTGTTGCAGCTGCAAGTCTTGCTTCATCGGTTCACAAAGACACTAAAACAAATAATTCGTAGACTCCTCTCCACAACAACTAATTCGGTGATTCACCTTCCCGCCCCTTTGGCTTTGTGTGCCGATTAATAATACAAGTGTCTCATGTCTGTAACCATTTCCAATCATTTATCAACTCGACAAAGTTTAATTTTCTGTTGGTTGGTAAAAAAAAAATACTAAATTCCAAGTTTAAATGGAGATGAGTGATGAAATTTTCTACAATCTCGGATTTTGATATACATGTAGAAAAAAAAGGAAAGTGCGCATCCAGGGAATCGAACCCTGGTCAGTACCGTGGGAGGGTACTATGATACCACTACACCAGATGCGCTTCTTGTTGTTTCGCCCAACATTATCTTTGTTAAATACGTTTTCTGAGATTTTGGATGCTGCAAATGAAATGTGAATTTTGGGAGACAACGTGAGAGTTTGAAACGTAGGTTTCTGTCCCAAACCTGTATTTCTGTGAATTTTACGCTACAAAACCGGCGGCTACGTTGGAAAACGGAGGAAAAATAAGAAGATGGAGAAACAGAGTGGATCTGCGGGAGACGGAGAAAGCCGTAACAATGAAGCAACGGTTGTGGTTGGATCTCCTTTGTCGACTTTATCTCCGTTGGATCAAGAGGCGTACATGGTCGGAGCCATGAATCCGATAAGATTTCAACGCCAACGAGTATGAAGACGAACAAAGTGGATCATGCTTGCTTCATCATGTAAATATGCATGTAGCTAAAGACTGATGATCTTTTTGAACGTTCGATGCATGATTGCGTATGTTTTATATATTTTGCTTAAATGCTTTAATTTAGTAGCGTTTTCAAAACTAAACCAAGATAACAAAATCTTCTTTTAATCAGAAAACTAGTAGGCTCTTAGGCGTAGCAACAACACCTTAAAAGAGCAGCAACACTAAAAGATCTTATTAGGTCCGAGAGTCTCCCTCGAATGGATGGGTCATGGGGCCCAAGTAGGGTAACGAGGGCTAAAGAAGGAAGCGGTGACGTGGGCGTTCAAGAGGTTGAGCGTAGCAGTGTTGGGCTTGACACATCTCGGGGTTTTGTACTGATTAAACGAGCCTCCTTGGCTAATTATCAGATCCATCAGTTCCTCGAAGGTTCCTGGCTTCACCACTCTTATCTCTAACGCCCCTATCGATCTCTCTTTCGTCCTGCACTGTCTGTAAATGTAATCGAGCTCTTCCTCAACCGCAATGCAACACTCTTCCATCAGCCTCGGCTCCAGCTGCTGGCCTCCGGGTTCGAGCCCTTGGATCTCCCAGAAGAGCACGTAGTGACCTGGCACTGATGACGTGTCCGCGTAGCTCGTGTATTCCGCGAGGAATGCCTTGTTCTCAAGCTTCTTCTTGGCTAGCGTGATGCTCCTGTGAAGGTCTTCCTCGTTGGTTTTGTCTAAATCCACGCTCAGAACCACGTTTCTCCTGCATATAAACCGGAACTGTGGTGCTTTGTTGTAGAAACCCGCCACTTGAACAACATCGCCGATCCGGTAACGGTACAACCCTGTTACATGAAAGAGGAGGGAACCAATCAATTGTAAAAAAAGAAAAAACAAAAACGAAATCCAAGTCTCACCAATTTTTACCTGCGAAAGTTGTGACCACCAACTCGTAGTAGCGACCGAGTTGGACACTGACCAAGTCAACTACTTTCTCGCAGGAGACTTCATCATCGTCGTCTTGGTCAAAGGAGAGGGTCCCGTTTTTGCCGAGAGGGATAAACTCGTAGTAGCACATGTTAGGCAAGAGTGTGAAAACGACGTCGGATGGTTTCGAGAGTGGCTTCACGTTGACTCCAAAGTAAGTCTCGGAGGAAGCATACATTGGACAAACCAATGGAATCTTGCCTTGGCTAAAGAACTCGAGCGCTGGTACGTACTGTGCCATTGAGCCCGTCACTACTGCTTCAATGAACTTTGCTTTGGGCCACAGCTGACAGAGAATCCCTTTCCACGACGAGCGTCCACAGATTTGCTCGATCTCGTTAGCTAACTCTGGATCCGGCGACGCTAGAAGGGAGGACATGGCCATCTGGCATCCTGGATCGGTGATCATGGTGCTGAGATGACCGGTGCGGATGTCTTGACAGAGCTGGCTCCATTTTTGCTCCAGATAAGAGATTGCACGGAGAAACGCTGAAGCAAAGACAGCTCCCAAACGCATGACTTTGTGGCGGTGGATTAGAGCGGCTAGTAACTGACAGTACATGCTTTGGTTGCTGTCTTCACAGAGGATGGTTTGGATCGGACTGGTTAAGTCGTTGAATGGATCGTAAGCCCTGCATTGGAAATGTTTGCTCTTGTAGTAGCTTGTGAGGACTGCTCGGATTGGTAAACCACAAGGAGTTGACGTTTCTGCTTTCACGAAATTTAGGTACATCGCTTTTCCTTTGTCAAGTCCAGCTATATACCTGTCACAAGTCAAGCTCAGTCAAAAAACAGAGGAGCAAGAAGATGATGGTAAAAGAGGTAAATCTATAATAATAAATAAGAAAACCCCAATGGATATGGATATATGATGAAAGATTCTTGAGGTTTAGTGAGTGCTGTTCAAAATTCTAAGAAAATCTTTTAGTGGGGACATGAAAATTGGCGTGTGGATAAAAGATGATGGATGCAAACTTTATAGTACATGACATGAAACCACTAATTGCCAAAAGAAACAAAACTCAAAGCAGAAAGCAAACTTCCTTAGTGAGAAACCTATATACTATGATGATTTTATTGGTACCACGGCCAGTACCTGTACGTATGAATGTGTATCCAGATGATTACGGAAACTATATTTACACAGAGGCCTATCCTTAAGAAAAGCCATTTTTATTTTCAATATTTCCAGTGGATAATAACACTTGAGGAATGTGATGTGATGTGCCCTTCCACTTAGATCAAGCTTTTGAGACATATCCTTTAACTACAGTAACAGTTCTAGTGGTTCTTTTATGGAATATGAGATCAGCCACTTTGTTTTATCAAGTAAATATTTCATTTTTTCACTCTTAAAAGAAGATGAGCTTTTAGAAAACATCATTGAGGATGTTCACAGAGGGTGACATGCCTGAATATTAACAGTAATTACAAGGGAGGATTTAACTAACTTGTTAACGATTGGAGTAATAAGATTGTAGAGAAAAGTGCGGCGATCAAGATCTTCAGAAATGGTTGGCATTAGCTTTGGCTCTCCACCAGAAGTCCCTGAGCTACAAAATGCAAGAAAGCAAATACATCTCTTCAGCTACACAACCAGAAATATTCAGACACAAAGGAAGAAGAGGCAGCAACTAAGAAAGATTAAGGCAGACATAGAAACCGACCTGCATAATATTTCAGTGATTGGATGACCAGTGATAAGAGAAGAGTCTTCCCCATTTGCAATTCTCTGGATGTAAGGACAGACATCTTTGTACTTGATGATTGGCACAGCGCGCCTAAACTCCAGAACGTCCTTAGAGCCTTTCATGTACTTACTCAAATACTGTGTGTCCTTGTTTCGTTCCAAGATCTCACATAAAATGTTATCTTGAACTTCGGCAGCTTTCGAGGTGATCCTCTCGAGCTCTCTTACTGCATTGTCACCCTTGTAGCTGTAACCAAGCTTTATTTCATACATCTTTCAGCTTAATAGAAGAAGAAGGAGAAGAAGAAGAGAGGCAATGAATGCCTCAGGACTCAAAGCAAGGAGGTGTATTTATAGTGGGTTTACCCATATTTACGTACCTAGAAATGGATATTAACTTTGTCCTTACAATTGATCAGTTAACGGAAAATAAATAAATAAATAAAAAGATCAGTGCTGATATCATCAATAATGCAAGCTCAATGTCAAGGACAATACGTATAAGAAATATATGTACTTAAAGACACTAACAAAACAATATTGCGTAAACACATAGCTTCTCTCTACTTTTTACTTTGAACCAAATCTTGCATATCAGTTTTAAGTTGACTTTTTGTCACACAACACCTCTTAGGGTCATTAGCAGCTCAAATAGGGAACCTTAATGGCTATGCATAAGAATAATCAATAACAGCATGAGTCATGTTACAGCTACAAAAGAAGAGTCGTTAACATTTATGAAGAGACTTTGTTCAGCATGAGAATCATAGAAACAATCTCAACCATCCATTTTTTTTATCAAAAAGGGACCACATTGATTTTATGATCAACCACTGTCATGATCATCAAGCTTTTAAAACATGATGCGTTTGGTGCTCGCCGCATCTGATAATGTAGCGAGCGAAAGTCCACCACTAACTAAACAATTGCTGACGCTGCTCTGTCCCTCAAGAGGAACAACTCTAACCAGACATTGTGGAGGCTATTGGGGTGGATTCTTTTTCCATCTGCAGAAAGCTTAGTGACAAACAAAGCATACAAAAAGCTAGACTTGGATCTCTCTGACCTTTTGGTGACTCAGTTTAGCATATAATTCATCTCACTATTAACCCTTTTCGGAGTAATCCATGCATAGTGATTCACTTCTCACCATTCCCATACGAAAAACAAGTTCTAATGTCACAATCAAACTTTTGACTCCTATCAGTGATATATTAATTATTCCTGTGCAACTTGTGAAAAGGATCAAAACTTCACTTTTCTTGGAATTTTTTTTGTGTTAATGGAATCCACAATCAACAAAAAAGCAACAGACAAGCTGTTATCAACTGTAAGAAGAAGTTGTCTATGTAAGGCAAATCTGAAAGGTGACTATGAATATTTGCAAGAGTAAAGATTTTCATTTAGGTTCAATGGATGCAGAACACTGCAAATTATATGTATCACGAGACTATGTAACCACCAAGTCTTATCCTATGTATTAAGAGAAAGAAAAATAAATGGAGATGACACATGCATGGTAAAGAACAAAATTAAGTAAAAGAAATAAAAATAGAGAGACAAGGTGAAGCAAAAGGCTATGCAAAAAAACCCACGTCTTCCTATTTCTGGCGTCAAGCCAATGTTTTAACGGAGACAGTTTTCTACCAAGGTTAAACAGAAACATCACGAGACCATAAAAGGTTTCTACAACTGAAAAGCTCATTTGTTTACTTCCTTTAGGTAATGACCAACAGTACACAAGGACAGACAGTGACCAATAAACCAAGAACACAGAGAAAATCCCAAGCCATCATGTCCTAACGACACGAATCATGAAGGGGATAGAAAAATTAGGTCTTTTTACTGATTTATTTACTTGCCCTTTAGATTCAGCATGATTCCACTCCCATACCGGGTTGACCCGTGTTGATCATAATTCATAAATAACAAGGTTCTATGCTACATGATCAAGTTCAGAGACAGAGAAATTTACTCGAAGGAAAGAGAGAAAAAGGACGAAAGATATTATTACCATGGACTCAACCGAGTAACAGAACAAGAGTGAAAGGTCTAATCTGCAAGTCACCATCTGATTTAGCAGTTGCAAGAACAGGTTATTCCTAAAGAAGCACATATATTCTACACCGCGTCAATTCAAGGAAAAGCTAAGAACCCAGTTTACGCGCATAACGATTATGAACTACCACAAACCCTTTTTTTATAAAGAAAATATGCTATTCTTTTAGTAGGAAAGCAAATCAAATTGTTCCTAGAGATGAGAACTGACTAGGCCGTACGAAATAAGTTCTTTCTCTCCTTGGTGGCGACTTACGAATCATATAACCCAAGTAGAACAAACACCTGTGACGACATCAATAGCTTTTGGAAAGAAACAAAAAAAAAGTGAAATCATTTGTTTTCATCCTGAAATCACCCCACTATGCCAAGATCGAGATGACAACGACCAAGATTTATGATTGTGTAAATTAACGAATGCAATGCAACATTTCCAGATTCTAGTGGTTTTTTTAAAATTACATTTCCTGATTCTACGTACATGTTAAACTGTAAAAGCTGAACGTTTACTTTTACGAAGAAAAACATTACAACACACGTACAATTTGGAGAAAAAACAAAGTGAAAAAACCCAATTATAAAATCACCATGATTAGAAAAGTCACATATATAAAGTCGAGTTGTAATTCTTTAGCTTAATCTCTAGCAAATCTTGACAAATAAGAAGAACATCAAAGGTTCACATGTGCTTACTGTGACGTCTTTGGTTTTGGTTTTGTTTGAGTTGGTAAGGATTATCTGAAGGAGCAAACCAGATACCCAATAGGACGGTCAAGTGAAGACACAGTAACAAAGCCGAGGAGACTCTTGTTGATGGATACACGTTCCAGCACAGCTCGATACCCACGAACAATATCAACCTTTTTTTCACTCAAAACAAAAACAAGTTAGTGTTTAGGGTTTTTTTTAAAAAAAATTGTGCTAAGGAATGCAAAGAATGGTTTTACCGCAGCCAAGTAGGAAACGATGTTCTCCATAGCAGAAAAGGCAGCGAGTAAAAGTACCTGTTGTGATCATCCGAGAATTGGGTTTGAGTCTCAAGGAATGCCAACAACGCAAATAAAAAAAAAGAAATAATCGGGATTTTTCTTTTGTTACCATGAGTAGAACTGGTAGTGCAGAGACCGAGCACATACAATGCCAATGAAATTCCCAACAAACATGGTCGTCACAATATCTGTTAATCAAGTGGAGAGCCTGTTAGTTTGGGCATAGAATAGACTTATAAATGCCGACAACAAACAAATCAGTAAAAGCTTACGTTCTTTCGTAAGAATCTCTGAGTTTGAGAAATCACTGAGCGAGAGCGAAGATGGAAGCGTCAAGAAGAAATGCCTAGAACGCATGAAGCCTATAATCCCGCCTTCTTGCCTACAACAGTCAACACATTCGTTATAACCAATCGATATACACACAAGATATGGACTGTCGTAGCACAAATTGCAGCTCATCTACTTACTTGCACCATCTAAAATTTGCAAACGCCGCAAGGAGACAAAGCTGAGCAATGAGCAAGCATACTGCAAATTCTTTGGACACAAAAACTCGTTCTGGAACAAACTTGAAGTTAACAGACCTGTCGACAGCTCAAATTAGAGTTAGCGCTCAAAAAAAAGAAGAAGCCTTAATATATTCAGCTCCGATTAGCAATTTTATCAGGTTCAGAGGGAGAGGAGAGAACAATACCAGAAGTGAATAAAAACACGTCCAAGATCAAAGGCGTTCGCAATGTAGGAAACCGGATATGTTATCAGAAAGGGCAACCCCACGAGTATCTGTATAACCATTCACGGACCAGTTGAACGGCACTTGTTGCATGATCAAAATTATAATTCGCTGGATGCTACAACTCACCTACATGTACATTGAATCAATAGTTAACAAGTTTCCAGCTTTATATGAAAGAACAAGACTAGGCATAACAATTGGTGAATAATGAGACTTGTTACAGATAATAAAGTGAAACCTGAACAATAGCTGCACCAGCTAAAGCAGATACCACTCCAATAATGTTCATGGCCTGTGAGTAGTAAAACTTGACATATGAAGAATCATTGGTAGAAGAAGAATAAGGCAAATCCATAAACTAAATCTCTTCCTCAGACATACCTTTAGTAGCAGAAGTAACAAAGGTGGAGCATACAAAAGTACATTCATCTTTATAGAAACAGCTCCGCTATATAGACAAAAAAAAAAGGTAAGCAGAGTAGGCAATGACAAGGAAAGGGAAGAAAAAGAAAATGATAACGAAAGCAGCAATCTGACCTGAAAACAAGCATGCCGAGATGCCATTTGCGATAGAGAAAAAGAGCCATTGATGCATGTAGGAGAGTCATGGCGAAACAATCATTAAAGAGACGGAGAACAAAGATTGAATGTATTCTCTTGGATAAACACAGCAGAGAAAGCGCCCACCATGGCACCTGCAATACGAAAGGATACAAGGAGCAATATGATCCCTTAATCCACCAGAATATGTACTTGCCCAATCGTGAATCAACACCAAAAGATTCGTCCATTAAGAAATAAGGCATCACTATACCACATCAGTCTTCACATAGATGAACAAGACGATCGCCAGATTGGCAATGTAGAGAGCACCAAAAAGAATCTGCAGAAAGTAAGCGAGAGGTCAAGTTCCTCCACAGCTAAATCACAAACGTGCGTGAATCAAGGAGAGGCAATTCCAAGTACCTGAGCTGGGTATACTTCCCCTCCGGTTAACTCCTGCACTGCCGAGTAAACATAGAGGAAACCCGCCGGATAAACCAATGGCCCTGTATCGCCTTTCAGCTTCCCATACTCTCTCTCTCCCCCGAGAAACCCACTAACCTGCCCCCATTTTCACAACTTTCACTTCTTTGCAGCTCCCGCATTGACTTGTGTATATTACTGGAATCGACTCAATGATCATCACAAACACTAACCTGTGACATGTAAGCATCCCAATCGATCTTCGTGTCTGTTTAGCAACAAAAATACAAAAACAAATATGAAAGACCAAGGTATCTCCAATGCACATTTCGAAAGCAAAAATGTAGGAAATTAGATCTCACATGGAACATATGCGATGATCAGTGCGACGAGGATTGCATCAGCGAGAATTAACGCGAAGGCCAACGGAATCTTCGGCTTTTTAAACAGATCGGATTGATTCATCTCCTTCCCATGCCGGCGGCTACGAGAATCTCCCAAGCTTGCCTCCATACTCGCCGGTGATGATGCGTTCAGACAATCGCATGTACGCCGCGAAACAGACAAGTATGTACTTCTAACTGACTCTTATTTTCGGCCCATAGTATAGCCCACTTCATGAAATATCACTATTGGGCTTATTATCTTTAGTCGGTTGCTTGGCGGTTTTTTTTTGTAAAAATGAGAATATATGCATCAGACATGAGCGTAGGATAAGCACGTGTACACACTTTTTCATAAATTCGATTCATAATTTAATATCCCCCCCAAAAAAAACAATTAATTCGCATTCCACGTGTGCACATCTCTGTCAATGACTCGCCACGTGTCTCTCCAACACCAGAGCCTCGACTCTTGGCTTCTTCTTTATAAACTTCATCTCCTGATTATTCTCTTTGACCAAGCTTCTTCTCTTCTCATTTCTCAATCCCTCGATCTGAATATCCTGCGTTGGACGTTCTAATGGATTCTCAGGATATTAGGCACCGCGGCGGAGACGACAGAGACGCTGCGACGACAGCTATGGCCGAGACGGAGAGGAAAAACGCTGACGACAACAGCAAAGGCAAACGCGATCAAAAGAGGGCGATGGCGAAACGCGGTCTCAAATCGCTGACGGTAGCTGTTGCGGCTCCTGTGCTCGTGACGCTCTTCGCGATGTATTTCCTCGGCACAAGCGGCGGCTACGGGACTCGAGCTCGGTCCTCGTCGTGGATCCTACCTCTGTGGGTCCTACACGCCATGCGTCTCGCCTCGAGCGGTTTGATGGGCTTGGCTGCGTGGCTCGTGTGGGTCGACGGTGGCTTCCACAAGAAACCTAATGCTCTGTATCTTTACTTGGCTCAGTTTATGCTTTGTTTGGTTTGGGGTCCGGTTATGTTTCGGGTCGGGTCGGGATTAGCCGGTCTTGTGGTGTGGTTGGGTCAATCTGCAGCCTTGTTCGGATGCTACAAGGCCTTTAATGAGATAAGTCCGGTCGCTGGTAATCTGGTAAAGCCGTGTTTGGCTTTTGCTGCGTATGTAGCCGCCGTTAATGTAAAGCTCGCGATCGCGTGAGATCTGTATAAGCCAACGATGAACGTGATGGTCTTTTGTGATACGTTGTTGTAGAAGCGTTTTATGAGTGCTTTGTGATATATACATAAAGGTGTCATTCTGATCCAATATTTTCTTCTCAGTGTGGAGTCGGGAGTGATAGACATGAACATGATTCTCTTCTCTTTGCAAGTTCTGATTATTTCAGTATTTGAGCCAACAACTAAAAAGCTGCTATAAAAACGAGATTTTTATAACCCAAACCAGTAGAGGTATAATCAAATTTACTTTGAGGTATTTCTTAATATGCAATGACTGACTGACTAATATATGTAACGAAGTTTGCTAGTTGATTCGGTTATGGCTCTCGTGATTATTATGCATTTAGATAAAGACTTCACCGAAGTTATAATAATACATGATGATCATTCTAATTACAGCGTTCTCTCTATATATCACAAAATTAGAATAGGCCGCTCGTTCGGATTTTATTCCAACAGATTTATTTGGGCTTTTAAGTTAGTGATGGGACCCAATAATTAAGGCCCTATAAGTCTCGTGAGGTGGTGATGATGTATAGAGAGAGGAGGGCTTACAAAAACAGATCGACCCTCGAGTCTCGTGCCAACGGAATGGGCGTGCCTATCGAGCAACAGTCTCTCTCAACCCATGCCCTGCCAAGCGTTAGAGACGGTCCATTAGCAACAATACACGTGTCCTAGCGGTCACTCGTCTCTCTCAATCCAAATCCCTTTCGCTTAAAGCTAAAGAACAAAGCGCATGCCACGTGGCTAAGCAGTTTTAAATCTCATCCGTCCATCTTGGGTCGAATCGCCCGGTGACCGCCTCTTTTTAAAGACGAAGAAGAAATTCGTCTGCAACGGCTCGAAGGTTTGTTTGACAATGGCGGAAAATGAAATAGTGGTCGAGGAGCAATCACAGGAAGTGGCTCCATCTTCTTCTTCGGTAACGGTGGAAGACGAGGAGCAATCACAGGAAGTGACTCCATCTTCTTCTTCGGTAACGGTTGAAGACGAGGAGGATGAGACGTATCTCAAGCACTTGGATTTCGTCAAAGCCGCGGCGATTTACATGGCCGTCTGTTTCTCGACTCTCTACGAGTTCGCTAAGGACAACTCAGGTCCTCTCAAACTCGGTGTCGAGAACATAGAAGCTACCGTTGAAACGGTACTCTCGCCGTTATACGACAGATTCCATGACGTTCCTTTCAAGCTTCTCCTATTCGTCGATCGTAAGGTATAATCATCAATCCGACTTTTGAATCTTTTGCCACTTTCCTCTGGTTTTCTGTGGACGGCACGTTACGTGATGTGCTTGCTTTGCAGCTGGACGATGTCTTCTTCGACGTGGAAACATACGTTCCGTCTTTGGTGAAGCAAGCTTCTAGCCAAGCGTTAACGGTGGTGACGGAGGTGCAACGCGCCGGCGTCCTCGATACGACGAAGAGCATCGCCAGGAGCGTCTGCGACAAGTACGAGCCAGCGGCGGAGTATTACGCAGCGGCCCTGTGGCGGTTGCTGAATCGGGTGCCCTTGTTCCCGGAAGTTGCGCAGCTAGTGATCCCGACGGCGTTTTACTGGTCGGAGAAGTACAACGACGCCGTTCGTTACGCCGGAGACAGAGACTACTACGTGGCAGAGTATCTACCTATGATCCCTATCGAGAAGATCTCTGATATTTTGGATCAAGATCATTCCCACTCAATGGCTCAGGCTCAGTGAATGAAGCCAAAAGATTCCCTTCTTTAAGAACATTTCGCAATTCTGTTCTCTGTATTTTTATTTGACTCATTTCCATTTCAAGATGCGATCTTCTTTCAACATTTCATCAAAACAAAATTTCCTTTTAAATAACATAACAAGAGGATGGTTCTCAAGCAAGCAACTGTCATAACAAAAAAAAAAAACTAGACGCACAAGAGAAGAGTGTTGTTGGTATTGTTTTACTAGTAAGGAGAGTGTCTGTTTTTCATGCGGTTCCTGGGCGGCTTAACGACCAACTCGCTTGAAGTCCAAGAAGACCGGTTGATGTCGGCATCGGACAGCCAGCAACACAAGCGCCCATCTTCACCGCCAGTCCATCCGAATAACCCTGCTCCTCCTCCATACTCGCTGGGCATCTGCACAACGCTCCTCACTACATCTATGTGTCCTCCACCAAGTATAGCTTCTGCGGGACCGATTGATCCTGGCCGTTTATACTTGACCGGAAAATAACCGATGGTACCTGCGCAGGTCCCACCGATCACCCATAAGTCTTCACCTCCTGGACAGTGGCAATCAACAAAATAATCAACCTGCAAAACAACCCGTTGAGTTTTAGTGACCAAACTAATAGGTTTCGTTACAAGGGAAGGGGGACGTGACGAGATATTCACATTATCTTGACTCCAACTATCAGATGCAAGTTCCCGAGCTTTCTCTAGGTTGACTTCACAGCTTCCATCTTGCCAATTCCATATACTTTGAGAGAGGAGTAAACAGATTAGAGGCGGCGCAATCACAAATCCAAATATACAGACTACCGATGGAGAGGAAATAGGTACCTTAGAGTTTCTATATGGGTGAGACACCACAGTTTTTGATAGCAATCCCCAAGGAAACCTATCTTCCCAACTGAAGTCCCCACGTTGATCACCTACAAAGGGAAACAAGAGCTCGGTACCCTCCCCATCTGACTATCGGATCTTAAATATGGGACTTACAGATTCCAGATGGTCGTCGTCATTGATATCACCTTCGGTGTTAAACCGACATATCAATCCGTCCACAGATGCTGAAAGAAGTTTGTTCCGGTTGTTGGGAACAAAGTGTACCTGTGGTTCACAATACAGAAAGTAATCAACACACACGCGATGGTCATGGACTTGACTCCGGAGATTCTAATTTCTATTCCAGGTGAGCAGAAACAGTAAGATAAGCAGCAGACCTGAGTGACGTCGTCCATGTGGGACTCCTCTAAACAAGCAACCTGCTTTGAGTTTCTCCAATCCCACAGAAGAACCTGCACCATCACTTGAGATTGTAACAAGCTGGAACATAGTCAAAGTTCTGAATGTAAATGCTCAACCTGTTTTTTGCATCCACCAGCCAAAAGATTGTCTCCAGCACCTCCATAGGAGAAGCTGAAAACCTTTTGACCATTCTCAGCATCAATACACGAAACCTAAAGCACCCCGTCACCAAAATCAGATAAGCTCTCTATGAAGGAAAAGGAATCACATTAACCTGCTAGAGTAAAAGAACCAATCACCTGCTGGAAACTGCGCGTGTCCCAGGATCTGATGGTCCCATCGGAGGAGCAAGAGTGCAGAACGTGAGGAGACGCCGCCGAGTCCGAGGAAAACGCAATTTGGTTGACGGTGCCGGAGTGGCCTTTACATTCGCCGTAGTACTGACCTGTCACCGGCGAGTAGAGCTTCACGGTGTTGGTCGATAACGACACCGCGATTGCTGTCCAATCGACTCTGTCAAAAAAACAAGAGATGGGTTCTCTCTCAGTAACCCAATTTGCTTGATATATAGAGAGCAGGTTCCTTACTTTGGGACTATCTGGAAGACGTAGTCAGAGCCGAAGTTGGTCGGAATAGAGTTCTTCAGGCCAAATCTCTTCACATTTTGACCCGAACCACAAGATTGACGATTTTGCACCTCCACTTCCATCTCCGACGCTTCTTCCATGTTTTCGGTTCTTCCTTCCCTTCAGCTGTTAGGGTTCGTTTCGTTGATCCAAACTAGTCTACTAGGATGATCAGCTCTCTAACTCTCTCTAAGCGTCGAAGTAAAAATGGCCCATTTTTAATCTTTGGGCCCATTTATGACCCAACACCACCGATGATCTCAGCGCCAATCGGATTCAAATATTTTCACACGCACTCACCATATGTATACTGTGTGCTCATTGATTTGTTTTTGATCCGTTTGTTTCCATCACCAGCTACTTGAAATGGTATAATATCCAAGTGTTTGTATTTGGTTTTACAGTTTAGACTAAGTTTGTTTCGATTTTATGAGATACGACTTCCAGCAAATGACCATTCAAACTTGTAGATGTGCGCTACATATATATACTATCAAAAACGACTTTCGTATAATTCTAACAAACTATGTGCTACATAATATATATAGTGTTAACAATCATCAACTATATTCCAATATTATTAACATTTTACTTCAGATGCTTTATCCACATTTGTGTTGTATATATTTGTTTGATCAACTGTTCAAATGGTACTCTTAACAACAGGTGGAAATGTCAATTTAAAAATTTGGAGTAAAAGCATATATAGTATACGTTTCAAGCATGAGTCCGAAATATAAGAGTATATATATACGTAACTTTTTCTTTTGGGCGTAACTTACTTAAATATATATAACTTTCTTTATTTGGATGGTCCAGGGATCCTAGGGTTTGTAAAACTCAAAAGAAGTACCAGTGAGAATTGGTCTAGATTTATGGACCACTCTCCCTTAACAAATCAATTTAACCAATTTGTAATTATTATTCTACAGTACTATTTACTGTTCAGAAAGTAGAGTACCAAAATAGTAAATTCATATCTACATAAAGGTTAAATATTCGTTTAGCTTTAAAAAACGATACCGAAGTAGTAAACTTATATATCTACATGATACCTGTACGGAATGACATTGTAGTGTTAAAAATGAAAAGCACCCTTAAACTTCATAATATAAGTTAACAAAATCAGGAAGAACAGCACACAGATTTCTCCTCAAACCACATATATACTTCTTATATAATCATATATGTTTATATATGTAGAAGAACTATATATGATATATAATGAAAGAAGTTGTTTGAAAAAATCAAACAAGAACACACATATGTAAGGGGAAATCTGAAATAATTCACCGATCAATTAATTATCCGGCGAGGATTTAGCTCCTCCTTTGCCGTGATGATTGGCTCTCTCTCCTTCAATAACTCGGTAACGATTTAAGTACTTCTTGAGCTGCTCGGCGTAATCATCGAACCCTAGATTTGCCATAGCCCAACAGATATCGTCTCCATTAACAGTCTTTCTCTTCTCCTTGTGACATTTATCGGAGGCTTCTCCTGTGACGAAGCTTATGAACTCGGACACACATTCTTGCATAGTCTCTTTTGCTTCTTTGGAGATCTTTGCGTTTGGTGGCAGAATGTTCTTCATGATCCTTCCTACGTTTGCTATTGGAAGTAGCCTATCTTGTTCTTTTATCATCATGTTTTCTTCTTCTCGCTGGTCCTCCACCAGTAAGCCATGATGTTGATGAGATGAGCTGCTCGCAAAGTTGTAGTTTTGGAATCTAGGGATTGGATTTTGGAACGAAGGGTAGTTCCCGGCCATCAAATCCAATTAAACAGAGGAGAAATCGTGTTTTTCTTTTCTTGTGTGTGTGTGTGGAAGGGTTTCAATCTGATATATAATACAAGAACAACGACTAAGACTAAAAATTTGATCGAAATGATGTTGTTCGCCAAACGATATATGGCACAGAAGAAAGAAAAGAAAAAGGAGAGGTGTTTACATTGTGTATGTTTTTATGTGTAAATCTGAAAATATTCGTTTTGACAGAGATTTGTGTAGTTAAATTAGCTTTATATAAGTAGAGTAGTAGACCATTAATGGGGAGTATCTGTTTTTTGGTCATAGATGGTGATGACGTGTCACACAACCAATGAGAGAGGTCTAGGTCACTGGGGAGACAATGTGGCAGGTCAAGCTACTTTCTCCTTTTCTGTTTAATTTCTCCTAAGCCCCCATTGCGGTTAAAACTTATTAATTTGATTGAGATTTGTTATCTATTTAATTTTTCTCTTTTCCTTTCTTTAAAAACTTGTTTTGGAAATCAAATATATGCTTACAAAATACTATATATCTTGTAATTTGTCCATATTAGTTAGATTTCAAACAAATTTTATGTAATGATGGAAACATATCATATCCTGTGGTTGAAGTCAACACAGGTCGATATAGATTCCGGCTGGACTTGAAACTCCTCTCAAGCAATAATCTGTTGTTGTTATGCGACATCTCGTTAATTTGGTAAGGATTATTTTAGATAGTTTCACCTGTTGGGTCGGGTTCTTGAATATGAAGAAAGTTGTTCTAGATTCGAACCTCGACCACTAGATCTAGGTTAACAATCGGGAGAGACGACGTAACTATGGTATGATACATGGTAGTTTCCTATATACAAACTCGTCGACAATATAGTTTGTGAACTTTTTCAAGTACTGTATAAAGACGGAAAGGATAGTAATTTACACTATTATGTACTGTATGAGTTTTATAAAAAAAATGCTATTATTAGAACAAATATCATCACTGAACAAAATCTTCATTTCAATCATTGCATCGAATGTTCCTTTCTATTTTTTTCCCCCCGGATCATATCATGTATATGGGAGTAATCAATAAGTAACTGAAAAAATATACAAATGAGTTATTGGAAGTGTTTTACAAGATCATGGATCATATCGTATGTAATTTGGTGTGGATAGTGATATACTTATTGCGGAGCAAACTAATATATAAAGATGTATATACAATTATTCTTCAGTAAGTATCTATAATTAGTACTAATCTATAAATAATTAGAACTAAGAGTTCATTTAATAAGCAATAATATTAAACTTGTGGACCATATAAGAGCACGTCTTGTGGTCTATAATTAGTAGTCTGCTTGCCAAATGAAGAGCCTAAAAATAGGTGTTTGTTTCTTTAAAAAGCATAAATGAAACTAATTTATCATTCCTTTCTCAGTGTTCTTCATGTGAATTTAAGGATAACGATCCTTTATTACTACTTACGTATTTCAATTCTCTTCGATTCATATCTAAGATTCGGGATTAATTAGTTCGTTAGTAGTACTATTCGGGACTCGGGAGTATATCACTGAAAATACTCAATTCTTTCCTCTGTCAAACAAAAGAAGAAGAAATCAATCCATAATAGAAATTCATTTATTGTGACGAAAACATTTATGATCTTTGTCGCCTTCTTATGTGGACGAGTATTGGAGCTGTTTAACAAAACATTCCCATTTTCTATGTCATTGTTGGATATCTAAAAAAGTAATGTCAAGAAAGAGGATTTTACATGGTTTTGGTGAGCAGGATGTTCTAGAAGTAATGTATGATACTACTTGTGTATTAATATTATATCTTATTTGTTTTCCCCAAAAACCTAAGTCAGGTGGTTAAATATTAACACAGCTATATATATATAAAATAACTATTAAACTGAGGACAAGTGTCGGCCGATGGTGGATTGGACCAGTTTGCAACGGATAAACAAATTATGTACGTCGTCTTTAGGTATACAATTGATTAAACGATGCATTATGACGTTCAAAGCATTAATATATTATAAAGTACTAGTTTATAATGTATATGATAAAGTCATTACTTTTACTTTCTCAGGTTATAAGTGTAGTAACTATCTCTACCTCCTAACCAAATGGTTAAATCGTCTCGTCGTCAGCGGTTTTCAATTGTTCAAGGTAGGTCATGATTATATGAAAACGTATTTCCTTCAAATCACACATATATATATATATATACCCATAGTTGTGTTTGGTAAACATTTTGTGCCATACTTAGGTTATAAGAATAACAATTAATATCCCTATTTAGTAATTAATAACAAAAGAAAAGTCACGAAGATCAAACATATATAGCATCAGCATTAGTTGTTGAACCCAAATATAATATATAGTACAGTTTTAAAGATATTAAATTCTAAAGTTGGTCCATAAACTTATACCTTTGTGAAGTATTCTCTAAAATGGCTTGAGAAAAAAGCAAATGCTACTTTTAAATTTGATCAAGAATATATACATAGTCGATTCTCCAATATCTAATTTTTATTTAAAAAAATGAATCGCAGAAGTATATATATTACTTCATGTCGAATAAAGAAGGCATGGTCATGCGTTATTCTTTAATTATTATCGTAAGTAAATTTTCGTGGGATTTTTATTCCCACTTGTCACGATCGAGTTTAGTGAATCTAATCAACGTACTATTTAAGCGTGCGAGTAGTTTTGTGTGTGGTCCATGCATTAACATTATTGCAGTATGTTGTTAAATACAATACAATTATACAAAGTTTGTCGGTCTTTTACTTCTTTCAGTTTTTTTTTTTTTTTTTTTTTTGTTTCTTCAGTTTTCTCGTTATTCGGTAAAAAAAAATACTGTCATGAAAATATGTTGACTTGACCCGGAAATGTATTTGGAGCTTAATCACATGTGGGCCAGTTTATGATCGACAGAAAGCCCGTTGGTTCATAACCCATCACCTACTTCGGGTCTCTTCTCATTCTCCAAAACTTATTTTTCTTCTTGCCCAACTTAATTTCATAATACTCTTCCATTTCCTTGTAGCTGCACAACATGCTTAGACAGTGATAACGAAGTAGCAACCGATGAGACTCCATTAAGTTAAAATGTTTTTTGTTTTTGTTTTTGTCAAAAGGTGTTAACTAGGGTTAGAATTTTGTATAATCCGCTTCCCTAGCTATGAGATATGTTAGGATTACAATTTACAGATACCTAAAAAGAAATCGCAGGTTAATTTCACATTACTCTTCTTAATTTGCTTTTAATTGCATGTCGAATCCGCAAAAGCCTAAATTCTAAATTAAAGCGTAATGACATTGTGGTTTATGAGGCTTCCGCTCAGCTTCGGCATTTGTGTGTAATGGGCCGCCTATCCTTAACTTTGGGTTGCATATTAAATGAGGCTGATTCTAATACCAACACTGTATAGTGTATACTGTATTTGTTCATATCTTATTCAATCACTGACCTACTATAATCAACAAAATATGATTTTTCAATAGATGAATCATTTTCATATTTAACAAGTATAATAATAGTACATATTTTTTTTCTTTCTATTTTGCTTAGGTTCTTTCACAGCAATATTAGAAAACAAATTTATTGTCGTGTTCTGTAATTCACAAAAAAAAATTTGTAACCGAAAAATCAGAATTAGACAAGAAATCTTAGAACAATATAACACTATTATCAGATGGCTCTTGTGTAACTGTGCTAATACATGCTGATTAAAAAGTAATTTTATATTCTGTGTGAAAAAACTCCCGGAAAAAAAATATGTGTATTTAAACAAATGTAAAATACACAAGAATATGGTTTTAGTACTCTATCGAATTATTATTATTGTGTCATCGTTGAGATTTGGAACCGACTACTGCGTGGCTGAAGCTAAAAATATGATCTAATAAACGATCAAGAATTTTTATGTTGTAAAGCTTGTAAATAGCTTATATATAAATATCAATTCACACAATAGTTTTTGTTTTTCAAATTGAAAAAAGACGCATTATTCTGAACTAAAAAAAATACTTCAGAAACTAACTTTGATTTGTATCTCATAGTCGTTGAAGTCAATATTATATTGCTCCCCAAACGCCTCCAAGGGAAATTATTTCAAAAAGCTTGTACGGAGTTGTTACACAGTAACTATTATTATTTTATCTAATTTTGGTCACGTTGGATGGATACTAATAATTTAATATACAAAACAACATTTTCTATACATGATCTGTTTTCCATCGTTCTCTTTCATTTAGTTTTAAGTTTCGTTGGAAAAAAAAATGAAAGAACACGAAATATATAGAGATGGTAGTATATATACTATAATTTCTATATCAATTGACACATAAATCTTGATGTAAAGTCCATTCTTGCGTTTTATTAGCGAGCCAAAAGTGACAATGGAATGCAGTTTTCACAGTATAAGACTAAAGAAATTTCTCTGTATTTTCTTCTATAAACGACTACTTAAGAAGAAGACGCATTCATTTACTTATATTAAAGACCATAATTAGGGTTTTTCTTTACCGTTTTACAGCAGTATTAGGACAATTAAACACAACTAGAAATTACGGAAACAGGTAAAAGAAAGAAGAAGAAACAGACGGCAGTACAAGGGTAAGTCAGTAATTTTAGTACCATTTATTAAAGGCCCATCTAGTAGAAGAACGCGTGGTCTCACGCTCTTAATAAATTCTAAGCAAAGCGTAAGATCCATTATATATATATATGTGTGTGTATATGCAAAAAAACACACACGCATATTTATAATAAGATACAGATGGGTTTTGCAATTTCCATTTTTATTTCCTAAATTTTTTTTTATTTTGGTTCAGAAAGTCTGCGAGAGAATTCGCAAGTTTTGGTGTGGATGCCAAAGCTGAGTTGTGTTTGGGTACGAGAGGTAAATCTGAAAGCTCTCTCCTTTATACCACGTCGTCGTCGTCGTCGTCTTCTTCTTCCTCTTCGTCTTCGTCTTTTCACGCGACTTGTCTTTTTTTCTTTTCTTTTTCGTTCCTCTAATATATATATAAATATAATACACCGTTTCTTTCCATTGCTCTGTCTGTTTCGCCGTTTGTTGTTCGTATCGTTAGCTCTTTGGGTTATACGAATCACACGCGAAGTTGACATCTAGATTCAAAATAGATTCATAAACCTTCTGGGTTCCCATTTCGCTTTGCTCTGGTTTTGATTTTGTTTGCTCGACGTTGGCTTTTTTTTTTTTCTGAATGTTGGACTTGTTCCGTGGAGGTTAGCAACCAAAGTTTCTCGCTTTCTTCTTCCGTGAACATACGAGAGGGTCTAATGTAGTTGCGTTAAAAATGGTTTCTTTTTGTTTCCTAGTTTGGTTTGTAACAAGTTCTTATCGAAACGAATCAGAGGTATCTTAGTGCTTTTCGATTTAAAGTCACTTTTGTGGGGTATGAATTGGCTCAGTTTGTTTCTTCCCTTAAGCTGGTTTCCTGATGCTACCTAAAAACGGCAGCTTTAGGTTTCGAAATCCTTTCACTCAGTATTCTCGACCTCTTCTTAAAGTGTCTCAACTCTTTAGCTCGTGAAATTTTTCTGCATTCTCTTTCAATGTTAGGGATTAGAGTATTTGGGGTTGAATTTGATTCCAGGAATCTAACTTTGTCTCTAGAGAATTGCTTTGGATGTGTGTATCATTGTGTATGGCTCCGAAACAGTTACCAAGATTGCGTTTTTGATGCTGTGGATTTTTATTGGTGATTTGCCCAGATGGAGCCAATCCACTCAGATGATGACATGGAAGGCGTGGTCGATGAATCCTCTAAACAACCATATTCTGCATATCTGCATGGAATCAATGGAGAGCCTGAGGTACATCCGCGTGTTGGAGATCAGTACCAGGCAGATATCCCGGCTCTAGTCCCAGAACACGATCGTTTAAAGCTCATTAGATGCTTCGGATCAGAGCCTCACCTGCAGAGTCTGGTCACATTCCCTCTGCCTATCCCACTCATGTGGGCAAGAAGTGAGAAATTCAGAGGTTTCCGTGAAGCCGAGAGTGAGAAAGGGAATCCCACAAGCGATGTTCCCTTGGAGAAACCTAGAATGAAACCGAGGAGTATGGTGCTTGCGTTGCCATGCCAAAGAAACGCTAAGTTCAAATTCGAGTGGCTCGAGAAGAGCCTCTATCCATTCCCTGGGACTTTGGGTGAGTCTTGGGAAGACACCGAGCAGGAGAGGTTTCTTCTTGGCCTCTACTGTCTTGGGAAAAACCTTGCCTTGGTGCAGAGATTTGTTGGGAGCAAAAAGATGGGAGATATGCTCGCATACTATTACGGCAGCTTTTACATGTCCAATGCATACCTGAGGTGGGTAGATGGACGCAAGCTGAGAAGCAGACGCTCTGTTCAAGGCCACAAGTTGTTGACAGGCTGGAGGCAACAAGAACTGCTCTCTCGGATCTCGTCTCATGTATCTGAGGAATGCAACAGTATGTTGCTTAAGGTACGTATGCTTCTTGTTAATTAGTTGCTTCGGAGTAATCTGAAACTGAAAAATGCAGAATGTTGAGGATTCTATCTCGTGTTTTTGTTGTTGTTGTAATTGTAGGTATCCAAAGCATTTAGAGAAGATAAGGTTGCACTGGAGGAGTATGTGTTCACTTTAAAGAACACGGTTGGTATCGACATGCTTACAGAAGCGATTGGTATAGGTAAAGGAAAAAAAGATTTGTCCAACTGCGCGTTAGAGCCAACCAAGTTGAATCATAGAGCCTCTGGAGTACGAATACGCAATGACCTTCCGATTGCCGATATTGTCAAATTCTTAACCGGAGAGTATAGGCTGAGCAAAACGCGGTCCAGTGACCTCTTCTGGGAAGCTGTTTGGCCACGTTTACTGGCAAGAGGGTGGCACTCTGAGCAGCCGAAAGATGGTCCGAGGAATTCTCTTGTTTTTCTCATACCGGAAGCCAATAAGTTTTCCAGGAGGAAGATGTCAAAGGGGAATCACTACTTTGATTCTCTCACTGATGTCTTGAACAAAGTTGCTTTAGATCCCACGCTTCTTGAGCTCACAACTGATGAGGATCGAGAGGAGAGAGTGAGCAAAGAAGAGGAAATCAAGAATGACCCGCCGTTAAACTTTGACGATTCTGATGATTCTTCACAAAACAGCAAGAAGAAGAAAAGGTACCTACAACCACGCTGCAAAAGTCAGGAGGAGGTCACCATGTTTACTATTGTGGATACCAGTGAGGCGAATGGTGTGGAAGGATGTACATTGAAAGAGCTAAGATCACTGCCTGTTGAGGCCGGCAATTCAATAGCAAACTCCCCAAGTCACTTGAGCGAATCTGAGGATAACCTGTCAGAAGAATCTGAAAACAAGGCAGAGACAACAGCTAAATCAATGGCTTCAAGAGTGTGCCGTGGGGACTGTATTAGTTCTGGTAAGAGCAGCTCTGTAAACATGGACAATTCCACGAGTCGGACCACCATTTCGCTCAATGAGAGACAGCAGAAGAACCGGAAAGGCGGGAGACCAAGAAATTCAAAATTGTTACCCGTCTGCGCCAAAAGGAGTAGCTTGGCAGACTGTACCTTGAGAGAATCAGGTTGTTTTGGTGAAACTCAGTACAGGAAAAAGAAAACAGTGAAAAAGGGGACACAGATGAGACCAAACCCATCAGAAGCTGATCAAAATGTAGTGTTGATGAGTGAGGACCATATCGATCAAGATCAAACTCCGAAACTGTCCTCAACCGATTCCTTTGCAGAAGATAGCTCTTGTCGAAGAAATGAGGATCGCCAAATATCATCGGAAAGACCTGAAGCCAGAGAAGATTTCGACTTGAACGTTTCGCAAATCTCACTAGAACGTGAAGATGATGGTACTGATACTGTCATCACAGACGTGGTACAGAACAGTGAGAGTTCTTGTGCAGAGCAGTCATCTTCTTTTCTATTGGATGTGGAAATGCAGTGTAAGCCACAGGAGCTGCTGGTAACCGGTGATCTGTTTCCTGGTCGAAGGCAGAGTACAAGGACCCGACCGTTGACTACAAAGGCATTGGAAGCTTTTGCTTTTGGGTACCTTGGTAACTCGAAAAAGAAGAGAAAGGCTACGGAAGAGTCGCCGAGAAACAAGTCAAGAACAAAGTCTACAAAGCGCATCCATCGTCGCTCACTTGTGTCCTCTGGCTTTAGAAACGGAACTGTGGAGGATGGTTCGAACACTGACGAGAATGAATAGTCCTAGCCTTAATCTGAAATTGACGTTTCTGCATATACCTCAATGTTTTGCCTTTTGTTTCTTATTGATGTTACTCTCATTGTAACAATGTCAGGGCTGAAAGAAGCTATGTAGAGCTATGATGTTATTTTTACTTCCATCTTATCCAACGCAGAATCATTGCTCAGCAATTTTACAAACCCAATATCTTTTCTCAGCTTTGGACTCATCAAGTTGCAAACTTTCGAGAAATATAAACGAAACGCCGACATAGTTATAAACAGAATTGGCTCATTGTATATTTCTTTGTATAATAAGTTGTACATAGTTGCAGATACGCAGAGCGGGGTTTCTCTTGTTATTTCCTTCAAACACCAGGGGCTAATCACTGAGGCAAGGAGTTCTTAAGACTAAGCTGAATGCTGACACGAGCCACATTTGTGGCTGCCTTCAAAATCTCCTTCTCTGCATCTTCAGCAGCTTTCATGGCGTCCCTGCAGAGAAGCCAAATACTTGTCAGATGGTTGCAAGAGTAATCAAATGGCGTACAAGTGCAGACATGGAAAAGCTTTTACTGTATTGTCATGGTTGATGGCATCGCGATTTCGATTTGGAGCAAGATCTTGCTATGCAACAAGTGTGGTGTAACTCGTTTGACCGTCATTTTCTGCAGATATGTAAAAGATTCCATTTTCAATAAACACAAATAACTGGAGGTTGAGTTTGGTCTGGATCCATAGAAAAAGAAAAAAACAGAGCACCTCAGAGAACTGTGACGAAAAAATGTCTGAGACAGTGGCTTCGACATGTTTAATCTCTTCGCAGATGTTACTTTCTTGATTACTTTCCTTCTTTATACTATCATGATCCATCATGCTAGAAGAAAACTGTAAAAAGGCTGGATCTGCAAGGACAATTTGAGACCATAGCTTAGACCAACAATCAGTGGATAAGCTGATTAAACATATTCTTCACATACCTATATGAATGAAAACTTCAGAAACTTCAGGATGGCTCTTATTGATCTGTCCTCGTACAGATTCTCCTACCTCATGTGCAACACTCACACTGGAAAAGGGATCTACCTGTAAGGAAAAGGCACTCCTAAATGGGATACTTCTTTCGACTCGATACAGAAGGAAGCAGGACTCACCACAATGTGGACATCAAGATACAACGATGAACCAGCTCTCCTACCCCTTAGCCGATGACATCCCTATGGACAAAGAATATCAGGAAACGTATTGACATTCATTAGCAATCAATAGCAAAAACCATGAAGACATGCTTTCTGATCACACAGAGACTGATTCTAGAAGTAAATAAACATCGATATGCCTATCATCGTGAAATTTACAAGGATCCATAATCCGTACCTTGACTCCTTCAACCTGTAGTATGGTTTGTCTTATTGGCTCTAATTGCTGAGCTGGTATAGCAGCATCCACCAGTTCCAGGACACTAAACAAAGAAATGAAAATTCACCAATGGACATGGTGTTGGAACCAAAAGATAGACTTGTAACCATTGTTACATGTTCAATCCTCTTCTCCAGGCTACTACAACCTTTGTGTAGTAAAGGCTAATTAAAAAAAAAAAGCACGGGGAGAGGCGTGAGTACCTTTGGTGCCCCGTTTCCAGTCCAGCTTTGAAAATCATTGCCGAGACAACAAGACCAGCCAGGGGGTCTAAAAACTTAACTCCGAGAATGGAACCTCCTGCACATGACGTGATTTTTCAGAACTTGACGTCTCCCTTTATTAATAGCCATATTGCATGAAACAAAAGATATACAGTTGATTTACATATACACTACATTGGATGTAAATACTTACCAACTCCAACTAGTGCAACTACAGAGGATATTGCATCTGAGCGGTGATGCCATGCATTTGCCATCATCAGCCCACTCCCTTGTTTTTCTCCTGCTCGTTTTGTGATCCAGTAAAGCCTGAGAAGCAAAAGGTTCAGGCAGGGTGATAAAAATACACGAAAAGATATGGATGATGATATAGCACAAAAGACTTTCAAAATCTCTTCCTGAGCCGAAGCTAGACCAAAAAGGTAAACACAATTATTTGCTGAATTAAAAAGGTAGAAGAAACTATCTTTCGTACCCTTCTTTGATAGAAATGGAAGCAATAGTTACAGTCAAAGCGAGAATGGGATGGCTCATATCAATTCCGTGATGATGCATCTCCTGAACCACCTCAGGAGCTGCGGACACTGCACTCTGCAAATGAGAAAGGAAGAGAGAAGAAGAAGTCTCAGCACAACTCATACTCACATAGTATACCCAACCTTTTAATTCTCTTTATCTTCTTTGTTTTCTATACATGTACCAAAATGCAGGATAGTTAAAGTTACATTTGACGATCAGATGCTATCTCAGGCTCTAAAGTAGATATCAATGTCACATGAGTCAAGCCCAATAAAACATATTCAAACCAACATGTTGCAGAGGTACTCAGTAGAAGAGCATACATATAAAAGGTGTAGAGCATGCCACGCAATACCACAGCCAGTGGCCAAAAGCATGCCAGAGATTCCAAGGGCTCCCAGAGTTTCAAACTTACCGTGACCTGCGCAAATAAGAAACCTCCAGGAAATGTAGTAAAGCAAGAGATGGACTACGTAAGCAGTGATGAAGAGTAACCAACCATATGGATGTTCTTTGTCCTTGGGAACATTTGCAGCTCTGTAAGAGAAGAGAGCAACACCACTTAGAACCTGAGAGAGAGAGAGAGGATAGTTTGTTTCACTTGTGTGTATCCTTAAAAATCAAGCATTTGTGGCGAAGCGATGAAAGGTTACCACATCGGAAACGGAATGAGCAGCGTCGGCGATAATGGCTGTGCTGCCGCAGAGGTAACCGGTGAGAGCTTTACCGACAGATAAACCGATATCTGCGGTGAGACCAAGCCGGAAAATTTTCTCCCCTTCTTCTCCGGACCTTTGACGTTGGTGATCAGGGTGGCCAAAATGCCACCTTCTGGAGAAATTGAAACTAGGATTTTCCGAGAGCAGCGAACAAGACTGAAGAAGATGACGATGGCGGAGGGATAATCGAGAAAGCGACGACCTACAAATCGGAGTCAGGATACCCATTCAGGGGTTCTCAGATCAAAATCGAAACTTCGGTGAAGATGGACGTCACTCGCTAAACGTTAATTTTGATCGCAGAGGCGTTGAACATTCTAGTCATCATCGTGATTGATCGGTCCCCAAGAGAGCATCTTTATTTAGTTTTAAAGTAAAAAAAGAAGAAGAATAAAGAACTGAAATGGGCAAGAGGAGGACTTTGGTTTGCTGTTACACAAGTGCGAACAAGAGATGGTCTCTAATCTTCGTTTTGCTGTTGCCTGTACTCAAGAGAGATATGGCTTCACCATTCCTCAAATTCATCCCTTCCCAAGCCTCAGTTTTTGAATTTGTGTTGCTTTGGTAATTCTCTGCCCTTTGTTTGAGCTATTTGGTGCTGTCATACGATAAACCAATTCCTTGTTTCAGGATTGAGAATCATCTTTTGTTTTGAGGCTACGACTATTTTATAGATTGAACTCTCTCTTTATATTTACCAAAATTGGATTATACTTGTACACTGTCTTGGCAAAGGAACTAAAAAAAAAGAGAGGAAACAGGGCTCTCTAAGTTGTTGGATTGCAGTGATCTCCGCGTCTATAGACATGAATCAAGTCAGGCAATTGGTGCTGGTACTTGACCACGAGCTTCTCCAAGAACACTTTCTCCACCGGAACCAACAATGAGGTCAAGCTCCAGTCCTCCTTCACCAGCCCCTTTGATGCCAAAACCTTCATCACCGAACACCTTGGGATAATCCTCTTGTCCAGGCTGAAGAAGAGTACCACGGGACACTGTGCCATCGATCGAGCCTCCAAATTCATCTCCTTGACTAGAAACTCCATCGTTCTGTTGATCTTCCTCTCCGACAGCATCATACAGTGCGGGTGCTTCTTGAACGCGCGCATGATGTCTTCTTCCGACCAGCCCCATCCTTTGTACACCTGGAAGCACTTGTCCCATATGGATTTGTTGCCTTTCCCAGAGAGGGCGTGGATCGCCAGCACAAAGGTTGACTTTTGGGGGTCGAACCCCATTTCTTTAGCTTGCTCCGTGATTGCGCGGAACTCGTGCTTCTTCTGCATCACCGCTTCGGGGAAATGGGCGAGGAGCAGCTGAATGCATTTCTGCGGGACGCCGGACTCCGACATGTAGTTGATGTTGGGGACGAGGTTCTTGGTGTGGTCCTCCAGGAATACCCAGGTCGTCCGGCGAAGCGCAGCGACGATCTTCTCGTCGGATTCGAGGACGCTCTTGAGGAAATTGTAGGAAGGGATAAGCTGGTTGACGAGGCTTCTGGTCAAGATGGTGGGATCAGAAGCAAGGGTTCGGGCGAGCAAGGATTTGGAGACGCCGATGGAGAGGAAGAATCGGAGTTTCGGGAGGAGAACGGATTCGGCATTGGCTAGCAGCAGGACGGGGCGTTTCTTGACGAGGCTGGAGATCTGCGCCGTGGAGAATCCATGCTCACGAAGAAGCTTTACAACGGTGTTGGGGCGTTCCGGAGAATCCAGCAAGAGCTTCCGAGAGGCTGCGATGGCGTAATCCGGAGATAACCCACACGAGTCTACAAGATAATCTACGGTGAAGGAGAGCCTCTGCTGCTCATCTTTAGGGTTTCTGGGAGAAGAAAACTGAGCGTGGGGAGAGGAGACCAACAGTGGTCTCCGTAAGAGAAAGCTTCTTGCAGATGTAACGGGAAAGGGAAAGGGTGACTTCCGGAGGAAGAGCCTCAGAAAGGAAGTGCCTTCAGGGTTTATTGCCGCGACGACGGCCATGTGTGGAGAGAGTGACGGACAGTGAGAGAATGTGTAGCTTCTTTCGAGTGGCTAATTGGGCCGATATATGGGCTTATATACAGTTTCTGGTTTTTAATGGGCTTAACGAACCCGGTTATATCATAAAATTGTGAGCATTGCTGGGTCGAGTGAGCGAGTTGATAGCAGTTAAAAATGTTAAGACGGATGTGTCCCCACTTTCGGACCAGACCACTCGCGAGTTAGGAAGTGAAAACTGCCTCTTTTTAGCATGTTGGCCACTCGCGCGCTATCCCCGCGCAAGGGCCTTACGGTCATTCTCTAATTACAAAACTTCTGAATAATTTATTACTATTTGTATATATATTTATTTCCTTGGAAATATCTTGGCTTCTGTGGGATGCTTTTACTTGGGCGACCCAAGGACCAAGAGAGAACAAAAAGAAATACTGTAATTTAAAAAAATGTGAAATATCAAAATACAAAAATAAGAAAGTAAAAAAGAAATTGAAAGCTAAAAAAAGAAACACTGCAGAGGCAGACCGTACGGTATTTTCTGAAGGGGCGAAAGAGGAGAGAGAGAGAGAGAGAGAGAGAGAAGGAGAAGAAGAAGCTCTCTCAATCAATCAGTGTCGAAGCATCTCTTTTCCTCTCGACTTTGGCTGCAACATCGCTTTCTTTTCTCCGGTAAATCTCCGTCGATGACCTTTTGACATTTGTTCATTACTGTCTCTGTGTGTAGTAGTAGTAGTAGGTGAGATGAGACTTACTAACTTTACTGTACACGAAATCCCTAAGAAAAAGGGGCATAGATGGACATGTATGGACGCAATCCGCCGATGAATGGCTCGGAATGGACCCCCGGAGATGCCGACACCGGACTCGAAGGTCTCTTCTTCTTCTCTTCTTTTGACTCGCATGCGCCTCGATTCTCAGCTTGTGTGCGGCCTCTTTAGGGTTTGGGCGAAATGACGCATTTTTGTGGTTGCAATCGTAATCTGCAGAATCGATGTGGCGATTAGGGTTGGGCAGTGAAACGTACCCAGAGAGAGCAGGTGCCCCTGACTGTGCCTACTACATGCGAACTGGTGTCTGTGGATACGGCAATAGGTGTCGCTACAATCATCCTCGCGATCGTGCCTCGGTACTTTCCATCTCCTCTTGTTTCAACAAAAAAATGCCTCTTTTTTTGCCCTCCCCTAATTGAAACAAACTCCTTACTCTGCGCCATTGCCTCTTTAGGTTGAAGCAACTGTTAGAGCCACAGGGCAGTATCCTGAACGCATAGGTGAACCCCCGTGTCAGGTAACCCCGACCAGTCCATGTTCAAGTGATGTGTTGATTATGCCTCGACTGTTATAATAATATTCCTGTTATGTTTGCAGTTTTATTTGAAAACCGGAACCTGTAAATTTGGGGCGTCATGCAAATTCCACCATCCAAAGAATGCAGGTGGATCCATGAGCCACGTTCCTCTAAACGTATATGGATACCCAGTACGAGAGGTGAGCTTCCTTTCCTTTGTTTCACTCTTCTTCTTTTTTTGTACATGTACAACAAATCTACTAAAGGGGTCGCTTTTGGGTTTTGCATGCTCTCTCTGTGTAACTGTAGGGAGAGAGTGATTGCTCCTACTATTTGAAAACGGGGCAATGCAAATTTGGTATAACCTGTAAATTTCATCATCCTCAGCCTGCTGGTGCTACACCAGCATCTGCACCTCAGTTTTATCCGTCGGTGCAGTCACTTGTCCCTGACCAGTATGGTGCCCCATCCTCTAGCTTGAGAGTTGCCAGAACTCTTCTTCCCGGATCTTATATGCAAGGCGCCTATGGTCCTATGCTTCTAACCCCAGGGGTCGTTCCTCTTCCAGCCTGGAGTCCTTACTCGGTAACCCTTTTTCTGTAATATCATCAAAACACACCTTTCTTATCTCTGTCTCTGTCTCTCTCACTTTTGCGTTTGGTCCAGGCGCCTGTTAGCCCTGCTCTATCTCCTGGTGCACAGCACGCTGTTGGGGCAACTTCTTTATACGGAGTTGCACAGCTCTCTTCCACCGCTCCTTCGCTTCCCGGGCTTTATACATCCCTCTCCTCTCCTACAGGCGTTATTCAGAAAGAACAGACCTTTCCAGAGAGACCCGGTGAACCAGAGTGCCAGTTCTATCTGAAGACAGGAGATTGTAAGTTTGGAACATCTTGTAAGTTTCATCATCCTCGAGATCGGGTTCCACCAAGAGCTAATTGCGTCCTCAGCCCCATTGGTCTTCCTCTACGCCCGGTATGCTCTTTCTTATGTCTCTGTCACAGCCTCTGTGCATTTATCATAGTGTTCGTTTTTTAACTCTGGGGTTGAAAACAAAACAGGGTGTGCAACGCTGCACTTTCTACGTACAAAACGGCTTCTGTAAGTTTGGATCAACATGTAAATTTGATCATCCAATGGGGACCATCAGATACAATCCTTCTGCGTCCTCTCTGGCTGATGCACCGGTGGCTCCATACCCAGTGAGCTCTCTCCTGGGTGCTCTCGCAGCCGCGCCTTCTTCATCATCCACTGAGCTCGCTGCAAAAGATCCCTACTTGTCCGCTCTGCCTGCTTCAAGAAGCACTTCTAACATCTCCGCAGGTTTGATATTCTCCCAGAGCGGCGGCTCAATCCCATTCTCTGACCTGCAACTCTCCAGCCAGACCTCTCTTCCTCTAACCGCTACCAGAATCACTCGACAAGGCCGAGAAATCCGTCGATCCTTTTGAATTGATCACCTTCAAGAAAAAAGGGTACGCACACGCAGGCCTCTGGATCACCTTTTGCAATTCTTAATCTATATGATTATTATTATTATATATAGAAGCATGTGATGTGAATTTATATAATCCTCCTTACCTAAAAAAGCCTATTTGAGTAGAAGAACTGAGTGAGAATCACATATATCAAAGGATCTGTATATGTGCATATATCAGAAACAAAAGACCCCCCAAAAAAAAGAAGAGAAGAAAGGCTTTTTTGTGTGTATAATGTTTGTATAGAGACGGACAAGGTTTCTTTATCTTGTCTGTGCTTCTTCTACTTCAGACCCACTGTGGCTTGAAAATCAGAACAGAAAAAAAAAATGAACCTCTTCGATTAGAATTTTCTTCCCCTTTACTTTGCGAATTGGTGACTTGTGAACTTCTCTTGTGTTGTTTATTTGTAGCTGAGACATGTATGTTGTTGATTTGCTACTGTTATGCTTCACACACATTAGATATGTTATGGTGAGGAAAAACTCTACATGTTAAGTATTGTTGAGATAGTCTTGAAGCTTGGCACCATAATTGTATTTATTTGTTTATTACAAATGTTTTGGGAGGAAAGCTGGGATGAGTTGAGGGAAACACACTTTTTTTTTTAGAATCGACCCAGTTTAAATTGAAATCCTAAATTTACTTGTTTCCAAAATTTCTCTCGTCTCTTTTTAACCCACTTTTCTTTCATATGCATGATGGTATAACATTATAATTTGACGAACAGACTGAAATGATTCCAAGAAGGATCATGTTTCTATGAACAGCCAGTACATTCGGGTTGCAACCCATATATAGATGTGCTATAGCCTATTTCAGTCTCCTGCCCGTTAGAGAATGATTACATGATGCTCGAGTTAGGAGTCGGTCCAGCCCCTGATATGTCCTGGACCGCAGCCCAATGTTGAGGTAGGAGTCGGCCCAACCCCTACGAATTTTATACTAACTAGTTTAGACATACAAATGTAGAAGATATGTCGAGACTTACCCAAAATTCAAACGAGACAACGGCCCACCAAACAACCTTAAGGATTGATTAAATTAGTGGTTTCAAATTACACGTGCCAAAAAGCTATTCCAGTGACGGCCTAATCTTACAGGTAAAAAAGGACTTGTTTGCAATATATATATATATGTCAACGCGTTGTGATGATGATTCTGATCAATGGAAAAAAGAATTTAATTTACGACCTATGCATCTATGGACGGTTGAGATGCTAACGAAAGAGAATCTATTTACTATAATCGGTTCTGTATTTGCCACGTCCTCGGATCCTCGATAAGACATTTATCTATCTTACCTGAATTTAGATGAGGATATTTACTGATTTATATCGGAATCAAGGAATATATTAATGACAGAAGTATCTTAAACATATAGTATATTTTTTCTAAATTACTTTAATTATCAGTAGAAACAATCTAGTCATAACAAATATAAATACTAGGATCAATATTTTCTGAAGTAGGAACAAAAGTTTATATGAGAGTTACATATGAATTTGATAATCTTGTGCTGTCAGAATTTCAGGTTTCAGCAAGATGACACACCACACCAGTCAACACCAAATTTCCGCTTTTCAAGATACTTTGACACAAGTATAATTAGGAGTGGGTACAAAAACCATAACCGAAAAAACCAAACCATATCGAACCAAAAAAAGTGATATGGTTTGGTATGGTTAAACCTAAAAATCCGTTTGACCATTATTTTTTTATAATTTTAGTTTATGTTTGGTTTGGTTAAAAACCGTCAAACCAAAAGGTTTTTTCGGTTTTTAAACTAAATTTTAAATTATTTATATTTTCCTAGTTTCTTAATTTAGTTTAGGTACATATTTTATTATTGGGCTTATAGTTTCTAAGTTTTTTCATCCTAATCATACTTAATATTTTTTTATTTAACGAATATGCTGATATGGACCAATCATATCGAGTTTTTATATCTCATGTGGACGCTCTCAATGTCCTATGCCATCAACTTTTATATATTATATGATTAACTTAACTCATAAATTTAAAATATAATATTTATAAAAAATATCTACATATATATAATAAATTAAACCTTAATTTTTCAATAAAAACGTGATTAATTCTTTATTCTTCACATTCAAGTCTTCTAATTCTAGTTCCAAGGTTATAGGTATTAAATTTTAATCTAGATTTGTTTATTGTTTTATAATTATTGATTATGAAAGATTTGATAATTTGTTTGTTTCTCTGTTTTAAAATCTGTCCTTATTGATGAATTTGTTATGATTTAGATTTTATTTTTTGAACTTTTTTTTTTCACTCATAGCAATTATTATTATTATTTCCATTAGAATCAATTTTTTTTGTAATAGTATAAATCTAAAAAAACCGAAACCAAACCATATCAAACCGAACTGTAAAAAACCAAACCATACCGAACCGAAATATATATGGCTTTTACATGGTTTGAATTTTTGTAAAACCGATAAACCATAAAATCGAAGAAACCGAACCGAAACCAAACCAAAAACCGAAGTGCCCACCCCTAAGTATAACATCAAAATTAAATTAAACGTTTAATTAATTAACAAATCTATTAGAAGCACTAAATATCACCTTTTAGTTCATATAAATATTCCAAACAAATTATTAATATGTATAGATAAAAGGTAAGGGTATGTGATGCTGCTGCTTGTCGCAGACACAACTGTTTTTTGTGAACTATGCAGTTTTTAAATTACCGAAAATCATAGCTTTTGATCGCGTAATATTATTTCAAATAAGGTACGTCTACATAGCCTTTTTGAAATGTGTATGAATAACTACTTCTCGTCCATGTTTTTGGTTTACCTATATAGAAAATGATTAGATGTGTATTTTTTTAATCATACAAAATATCCAAAACCTATAGGCTATAGCACACGTACGAGGGACTATATAAATAACAGCTGATCCAGGCGCTTGTTCAGCATTCAGCACATTAATCAAGGTTTCTTCAGTGTGTAGCTGCTAATTACTATTTCCTGATCAATATGGAACGGGTAAGAGATTTGGCATCGAAGAAAGCGGCAGTGATATTCACGAAGAGCTCATGTTGCATGTGTCATAGCATCAAGACTCTCTTCTACGAGCTCGGGGCAAGTCCTGCGATCCATGAGCTCGACAAGGACCCACATGGCCCAGACATGGAGCGAGCCCTCTTCAGGACCTCTGGCTCTAACCAGGCTCTCCCGGCGGTTTTCATAGGCGGGAGGTATGTCGGCTCAGCTAAAGACGTCATCTCCTTCCACGTGGATGGTTCGCTCAAGGAGATGCTAAAGGCCTCCAAAGCCATTTGGTTATGATTATTATTATTTCGCTTACATATACAATCTCCAGTCGTTTATTATGTCACCTCGTGAATGATATATATTCTACGTATATTTATATAATACATTTTGCGGATGTCTTAAATGCTGTGCATATATATAAGCAGATTGTGAATTTGTTGTCCAAAGAAGAACCTATAGAACACTATATGTATGCTCTTGTAGATTAGATCATTAGTAGATCATGACGACATGCACTATAATGTAATCAATTATAACCTAAGTTTCGGAAATGAATCTGAATTTAGCATAGTATCCTCTGATAAGATGAATGTCCAACAGTCCGGAAAATTAAACCAAGAATGAAGCAGCCGATAACTCGTGCGTGTGATCCGGCAAGAGAGACATTGTGAAAGAAGAGAAGAATATTTAAGAGGAAACAAATATACTCATATAATTTTACTACTGAAACAAAAAAAATAAAAATAAACAATAAATAGGAAAGAATATTTGTCGTTGGCAAGTTGATGATGGCGGAATCACCATACTATGCATATATATATGTTTTCTCACCGAAAGCTCGAATCTTTTCCCATTTTCCCTCTCTTTGGCGCAAAGATTCAATCATCAAAGGAGATATGTTAAGAGAATAATTTAGATTATAAATTGACAGCTTCTTCTTTTTTTTTTTTTTTTTGGTCTACCAGTATAACTATAGCTAAAATCATGCTAGTTATTTAGGGAAAAAAAATATATATATATTAATTAGCGTCTCTAAAAAGAGAGTTAAAAGGTATGACTGTAATTAATTTTGAGTTACATATGATATGATATGAACTGAGAATGGGTGAAACATTGAGACAGGCGTCTTTGATCTTTGACGGCGTTCACAAATATCACGCTAAATTTCTTATCAAACAACTGGTTTGAATATCAGTATAATTAAGAACAGCGTTTGCAGAAAAATTATAAGAAATTGTTTGATTTCCCGTCATTTCTGCTGTAGCCTGATTTGATCAGTATTAACGTTTATGCTGATCATATATGCAGTGTATTATATTCCAACACACGCACTCATTTGAACCAAATTTTTTGACGTATGCGACTAATGCTTGCACACAAAACTTGTCCGCAAGAAACCTACTTGTCCCGCCAACAATATATAATTAACATGATTAACTCTCTCCCACCTATAAAAAAAAATGCAATCATGCTTTAATTTATAGCCTCTTTTACACATAATTAAACCAAAAATTTAATGAGGGCCAGCCCATGCAGAAACACGCACACACGTACGCATCTATGTCACTCCCAATGTCAATAATAATTCACGAAACCCATGTTGAAATTTGTAATGAATAACAGTGTTATTGTTTCGAATCGTATTCGAGAACAACTAATCAACTGTTTATGATGATCGAAGCAACTGCAGCGTTAGAGGAGAAATCAAATAAAGTGAGTTATGTGCAACTTGTGCAGTCAAACAGAATATAGAGACGAATAAAAATACTCACATAGCCGTCTTTTTAGCTTTTTTTTTCCGTTGGGCATCTGATATTTATCTTTCCTTTTGATATTTTCTCTGTAATATATAATAATAATTACTTTTTGAATGTTCTTTCTAAATTCTAAAAAAAAAAAAAAAAAAAAAAAAAAACAGTTGAAACACACTCACGCCCTTCCTATAAATAGGCATGCAGATTTCAAGCATTTTACACACTCAAACCAAACAAAACAACATACATTTACAAAAAAGCTTAACTGAACCCTAGGCGTCAGACCTGATGGACAAGGTGATGAGAATGTCGTCAGAGAAAGGAGTGGTGATCTTCACGAAGAGCTCATGCTGTCTCTGCTACGCCGTGCAGATCTTGTTCCGTGACCTTAGGGTTCAACCAACGATCCACGAGATCGACAACGATCCGGACAGCCGTGAGATCGAGAAAGCTCTCCTCCGTATCGGTTGCTCCACGGCCGTGCCAGCTGTCTTCGTCGGAGGCAAGCTCGTTGGTTCCACCAATGAAGTCATGTCCCTTCACCTTAGTGGCTCTCTCGTCCCCTTGATCAAACCCTATCAGTCCCTCCTTTACTAGCTACTCGTACCAAACTCAAGATCCCTTATAATTATTATTAGCTAGTGAGAATAAAACCAATTAGCTAGATTAAGAGCTCCATACATGACTAGCTACTAGCTAGATACTCAGATGAGGTCTTCTTCTGAAAACTTGTGTGATCATGTATGTGTCCTCTATTTGTTTAGCTTCTTTCGTGTTTCAGTTTAGTTTATCAACTACTGGTGTATGTTGATGTACGTATAAGTCTCTGTTTATGCTAATGAAAAGAGTATTCAAATAATATATCTTTTTTTCTTCTTTCAAATAGATTTCCAAGATTGAATTAAGAGCTTCCAAACTTTTTAACTATACGAGAAATACCAACCGAGTACAACATGTTCTGATAATACTAGAATAGTCATGAATTTCCCATCCACAGTATATATTCGTTTCTGATAAAAATCTTAATACTCTATATAACATTTTGTAAATATCAAATCTGCACTTTTTAGGGGAAAAATTGTGACGTTGAGTTTTAAGTGACTTGCTAACCATCAATGAACTCTCGTCTTCTGATTATTAAAATAAACGAATTGGTAGGCTTCTTAAGTTAAGACCCATTGATCTACCAATAGTAGGATTATATTCGTCGATATTAATATTTAGTCAGCCTTTTAAGACTAGTGTTTAGAGCGTACTTTTATTCACGGACGATTGTTTTTCTTCATTAGCCAGACATTGCCCATTTGGAACACTGTGCCAAAAAAAATTCCCTGTGTTTATGGTTACATGATATTTACCGAAACCAACCAACGTTATATGTACAGAGAAAGTGGATCATATTAATAAAACACCCTGGAAAAAAAAGGAAAAAGATATTGGTGGCCAAATGCGAGTAGAAGATCTTTCGCGGTCCAAAGTATATATATCATGGCTAGACGAAATCTTTTTCTTTTCTTGAGAATCTCTCGTTTTATTATTGTGTTCTCTATTTTGAATACTAACAAAAGAAAAATGACTAAAACAATTATTTAAAAGCACAATTTGGAATGTTTATTATTGTGTTCTTTATTCTTTTATACATGCATTTCTTTCTTTCTTTCGTTAGCTGCTGATTTAATAAACATTTTCACATTATCAATAATATGATGCACATTTTTGAAAAAAAACCAAAATTTTTTTTTACTAAGGAATCATTGAATAATAGTAGCTATTACACAGGACATAAATGATCCTTTCAGCTTTACATCACGATAACGAATCATATCTTTCTTCTCAGTTCGACTTTTTGCTACCAAAGATTGACTGTTTTGTAAATATTACATATCTTTAAATTTACGGACACTTTTTGAGTTCTAATTATTTGCCTCTAGTTACTTAAAGTTGTAACCATGCATGCTTAAAAGTTGTCCAATGAAAAGCGTGTAAAAGCCTTCAATATAGACCTTTGAGTTTTTGTTATGAAAATATGATTCTATTGAGTTCAAAAGGGTCGAAGGGAAATAATAAAGAGTGAAGGAATCACTTTACAAGATGTATGGAACAACTTTTCTTGACCTCCAACTTCTTGGGATATTGGGAGTTGGGAGAATCTAATCGGAAGTTGTATAGGATGTGTAAGAAGTAATTAAGAACCACATTCACAAATGTTGTCGTTGTTATAAGATCCAAGATTCTTTGACCGGCGCGTGAGAAAAGCATACCTCTATACTATAGGCTATAGCTACAGATTCGTATCCAGAAAGATATATAGAGAAGCTCTATGATTACTTAGAAAATGGTCCATTTTTTTCTCCTAAAAGGAACGAAGCTCATGCGAAGAATATCGTAAACTCACCAAAGTGGAATGGTACATGATTCGGTTTCGGATAAGTAGGTAATTCGAACCAAGCAAGATTGAAGGGAAAGATGCAGTCGGGAGAGAAAGTTGAGTGTAGAATTAATAAGAGCTGAAGTAGATATGGTTTGCGAAAAGAGGAGGAGGCTCGATTTCTGAAGGTTGCTTCCTCCACACGCTTTGGGGTTTACTTCAAATAAAGTCAGTACGTAGGGTTCGAGAATATACGCGAGTGAACTTGATCGACGTAACTTGATGAGCTACTAATGGGATAAATATAGTTTTATGGAGAAATGATAAGGTTTTAGTGGAGCTAACTCAACTTTGGATTGGATATTTGTTTAGTTTGTGGGATCCATTTCCGTTTGTCTAGTAGTAGTCAGCAAAGCAACCCAAAGCTCACTTTCGAGCATTCTAGCTATGTCTATGTCGGTAACGTGACTAAGCCTTGGCCCGAATTTTGCCACGTCTCTTGTTCTTGGGGAATTCACTATTTTAATATTATTAGACTTAATATATCCCAAAATCTTAATTTACATAAATATAATTAGTAGGGAAGCCACGGGAAGCAGGGGAGAGAGGCTAGAGTGTGTTTGCACTTTGCAGCTTGTTCCCAAAGAAACGTTGACTTGTCAAACAAAGATGTATATGGCTTTTACATAAGCAACCACCCAAAGTAGTTGGAAGAAGAAAAATATCGCCTTTTCTTGTAGTTCTAGGGCTTCCTCTCTACAATATGAATATCCCAGCGATGGAAGAAGAAGCAGAAGGAGGAGGATCTCATCACGAGCAGCAACAGCATCGCCTGTGCGACTATTGCGACTCCTCGGTGGCTCTGGTCTACTGCAAAGCTGACTCTGCCAAGCTCTGTATCGCCTGCGACAGGCAAGTCCACGTCACCAACCAGCTCTTCTCGAAGCACTTCAGGTCCCTTCTCTGCGACTCCTGCGACGACTCTCCCTCTTCCGTTTTCTGCGAGACCGACAACTCCCTTCTCTGCCAGAACTGCGACTGGCAACTCCACGCCGCCTCTTCCTCGCTTCATCGCCTCCGAAGACCCGTCGAAGGCTTTTCCGGCTGTCCCTCGGCCTCCGAGTTTCTCGTCATCGTGGGCCTCCATGACCTCACCGACAAAGCTCTGCTTACCCCCGAACCCGGATCCGCCGATCTGTTGCTTTGGGAGACCCCGGAGATCGTCGTTGCCTCCGGTCACAATTTCCGGGCCATGGATGTTCCCCCTCTCCCTAAGGTCGGTCCTCTGTTTTTCCGAGTCCAGAAACGTAAACTTCTCTGTTTTTGCTTGCTGAAAATGTATGTGTTTTTTATATATATATATATATATATATGTCAAAAAATTGTCAGAATCGTCACGCCACCTGCGGGAAACACAAAGAGGAGATGGTCAGGCAGATCCGTGAACTCTCGAGACCCGAGCCGAGTTGCCTGAAATACGAAACCACAGATGCCGGATTCCAGTTCCTGTCACCGGAAAACGACGACGATTTGTTCTCTACTTGTGAGGTATTCTATATACTTTATTACTATTTCAATTTTTATTTAGGAGGGTTCTAAAAAGTTCTCCCTCTCTCGAATTTTTTGAAGGTGAGTGGACTGAAATGGTTCGAGGATGAACAAGACGAGCAGTTTCCCTATTCTTCTCTGCCAAACAACTTGTCTGAGTCTGGTGATAATGCGAACCGGAGAGGCTGCAATCAACAAGAGTCATCATCGGTGATGGTTCCGGTTTGCAATAGTACAAGGTCCGCACTGCCTTTCCATGAGATCAACACTCTTGACAGAAACTCTGCTCTCTCTCGCTACAAAGCAAAGAAGAAATCTCGAAGGTACGAGAAGCACATCAGATATGAATCACGCAAGGTTCGCGCAGAAAGCAGGACAAGGATCAGGGGACGTTTCGCTAAGGCAGATCCCTGATGATGATTGCTTCGCTTGTTTGCACCTCTTTGATTGCTCTGTATCGTACTAGAAACCAGGCCATCTTTTCCTGTATGATCGAACCATATAATAATAAGATATGGTCTATTATAATCAGATGAGTTTTTGTTTTCTAAGCTAGGACTGATAACTACTACTACTACACAATACACATGTTACATGTATATACATGTATGTTCATGGAGTCTCAAATCATCTGAGGCTATATTGTATTAAAAATAATAGAAATCTCTCAAATCCATTGTTTGTGGGTGGAGTTAACAATTTTTGATCAACATGCAGCAGCATGTCTCTGTGATTCGTGTCCCATGGTGATATGAAAAACTTGTGGTCTTGAGCAGCAATAAGCAACAACGATTTATTACTAGAGTTGTGGTTCTTTCTATCTAGTAATAAATGGAAACTACTCTTTGCTTTATAAGAAAAGCCAATGTATGAATCTTTGTTGGAGTTTTTCAACTGTTACCATTGAACATTTGGTGAGGAAGAGTAGTTGCAGCTCTCTCTTTGCTTCGACCTTTGGTTTTAGTTAGATTTGTTGCGTCTATCCTTCTTCCTTCCTCAACTGCTTGTTCTCGTTTCCTTTCGAATAAAAATATCTTCCTTGTGCCTACAAACTGATTGCTATATAAGAATCCCTCCTCTGTTTTTTCATCTCAAGTCAAAATTGCTGATTTATAGATTTCTTGCACATCTTCTTCACCAGACTGTTGACGATCTGTCATGGGACCTGGAGGACCCGGAGGACCTGGTGGACCAGGAGGACCAGGGCCTGGGCTTGGATGGGGGCCAGGACCAGGAGGACCAGGGTTTGGATGGGGACCAGGACCAGGGCTCTTGCCACCCATTGGTGGTTTCTTTTCTGGATTTGCAGACATGATATGTTCCTGGTAAAGACATTCTCTGCTTCATTGTTTTTGTTGTGAATTTTGTAGAAAGTTAAGAGGTTGAATGTTGCAGTCTGTCTTGTCTCTGCTGCTGCTGGCTGCTACAGGATTGCTTTGGCGGGCCACCACCACAAGCACCACCACTTCCTCCTCCCTATTATTGATCGCCAGAGTCGTCATTACAAGCACTCTGTAAACGATATTACTATTGCACATGTTTGTTAAACAATTTCTCAAGGAAATCTTATGTATGGTGTGAATTTCCGCTTGGTCTTGGCTACATATTTTCATGAACTGAAAAAGAAAGAACGATCAGATTAATTATGAAATCATAGTCTGGAACTACAATAACTAGCAACAGGAGGGAACAACAACAAACACAGTCAATACTGTCTTTCTCTCTTTGTATGGACTTATGAAAACTATGTACACACACTTCTTAGACAATGATACAAGTACAATTTTGGAATCATTCACACGCAATCTTGGTGTCGAAGCTGCTGAGGCAAATGGTGAAGGCCTGGAAGGCAGAGATAGGGTACTGGTAATCCATTGTGAACACATCTTTGCCGACTTTCCCAAACTGGAGAATCACGTTTTCGTGCTCAGGCCCGGCAGGTCCGTTCTCGGGAGCAGCCACGAGCTGAAAGTTTTTGACGGAAGCCACGGTGACTCTCCCATTGAAGTTGAGGCACCAGCACTGGAGCTGTTCGTGCCATCTGGGCGCTTTGTTCTTCAGGACAAGCAGTCCTTCCTTCTGCGCAGGACCAGGAGGGAGACTCTCTGACCGGATTGACTTGGACCTGAAGAAGGAGAACGAGGGGAAATTCTCGAGATTGCTGTGGACAAGCTCCGTCTGAGTTGGAGCTGTTCCTCCAGGTTCTACCGCTGAGGCAGGGATGGCATCCATTACACACTGCATCCTCCTCGGTCCCCTGCTTTTTATTGATACAAGTATTATTAGCCATTGAAAAAGCAACGACTTTTTGTTGGGTAAGCAATGGAGTATATGAGTCACCTGGAACCCAAGACGTTAAGCTCATAGGAGATATGTGCTACAGGGTAGTTGCCAGAGGGAAGCCTCGGGCTCACTTGTTTCAAGCTGAGAAGCCGGGTTGAACGGGTTTTGGTAACCTGAGCTCCAGGATTCGTCTGCTGAGCATCATAGACAGTGAACTTGGTCCCCAGGAAGTTAGATCTGGAAGAAAGTCAGATAAAACAATGGGGTTATGCGCAGTTAAAAAGACGACGGAGTACTTAAACAGTCAGTAAGTAACCTGAGCTTTCCGATATAGGTACTGCTTCCTCTCGAGACATCATCACAGTTTAAGGAGATGATGTAGTCAGTGCAAGTTGGCCTCCGAAACCTCTTGGCAGCAAGAAGGAACTTTCCATCATCATTGGAAGCTGCTGCTGAACCAGAAAGAAAAGGAAGAAGCCGAGTCAAGTCCTCAGACCAAACAAAAAAGAAGGAGAAGAAGAAGGGCATACATATGTTTCGTTTCACCTTGGTTGAGGCCGAGGTAGAGATAGTAAGTTTGGTTGCTGCGGTTTCTCATGATATAGCATTGAACAAGTGAGCCCCTTGGACCCGGCTGCTTGAGGGAGATGGGAAAAGTCAATTTGCTGGAGAGCTCAGGAACTTTGACGATCTCTTTGACGATTTCGCGCCAGTTGCGGCAAACACCGGCGCAAGAAACAACATTCTTGCGAGAGGGCCAAGAGTCTTCGGATTCCTCGATCCTCATGAGGACGTCCCGGAGGAGCTCCGGAGGCATACTAGCCCAACAGCTCTGCTTGAAAGCGTCGACGGCGGGAACACAGGTGTCCTGAACCACACGTTGAGACCTCGATCTCCCATACCCGAATCCTTTTCGGGATATACTCCCAAGCTCTCCTCGCATCAGACTCTTGAACGACATGCTCACCGATTTTCTACACCCAACACTGCTAAGCCCACATTCTCAATCAACCAGATCTCCACAGCTAACCCAACCCACCTAATGAGACTAGTAGTAGGCAGAACACGAGCAAGATTCAAAGATCCGGATATTAATTACCTATAAATCCCCCTAGCGGCTACGGAAAGAAGATTTTTTTGACGATTCACAGGTTATCCCAGCGGCTGTGGAAAAAACCGGATGGATTGAGCACCAAATGAATCCCGCAGGTCCCAGATTCGGGCATCGATATCGACAACACTCGAAAGCTAATGCCTTTTTATTACAGCAACAGAAGCGGTCAGAGGAAATAGATTTAGGGTTTGGTCATCGACGGGGGGAGTGAATATGTATGTATGTGTGTGTGTGTTATCCAATCGCTTCCCTGTCCCTCTCTCTCTCTCTCTCTCTCTCCATTTTAATACCCTTTGTTGTTGTCATTATGGTCAATTTAATCTTTAACTAAATTTGGCAACAAATTAATACATTCACATAGCATGGAATGCTTATGTTGTTCTACGGATTTATCTTACTTTAATTAATATCTATCTGGAAATGTTGAAAGTCTCGTCCACATAATGGTAACTGACTGGCTACAAAATCTTGCTCAGTTTAAAGTAAATCATTTACTACGAACTACGAACAGTATTTTGAAAATGAGAGAAATAAAAGAAAAACAAATAATAATTTCTATCATGAAAGAAAGCTTTCCGTTTTCCCTGTTTTTTTACGCAATGTGAAAAACAAATAATTATTTTTGTCAAATCAGAGAAGTATATAGTATAGTAAGCTTTAGATTGCCGTGATCACCGCAATTTGGCCGTTTTGAAGGTCCAAAAGGCATTAATAAACCTCTTACTTTATATGCTTAAAGTAGGATGAAATGTGATAAATAGTATTTGGACCAAAACCAAATATCGATTTGGTCAATCCATAATCTTTGTAAACTATTATTAATACGGTTTAGTATCTTATAAAAAAAGATATTGGGCCAAAGGGATCCATTTACCGTCGACTCGATATGGGCGGAGGTGAAGCAAATAAATGGGCCAATTAATTATTAGTGAAAGAACTTTTATGCCCATGATTGTTTTCTACACTTGATTGGAACGTTGGATTGAAGAGACTTGCTGAACTTTGATAGGTGTTGTGTTGATTAGAGGAAATGCAATTCAAGCCTAAATTTTTCAAAATTAAAACATAATTTTGTGAGGCGAAGGAGGTGGATAAAATAGAAACAAGTGCACAAAAGGCCAAAGCAAGAAGATAAAAAGGAGACCACACACGCATACACAAATGTGTAAGGCACACAGAGAGACATGGCGGCAGCAAAGGCGGGTCTTCTCCCGTGGCATTTCCCAACGGCGAGACACGCTTCTTCGGTGTTTCAAGCTCCGGCGGTGGAGATAGGCGGCGGCGTCTGGCGAGAGAGAAAGAGGAAAGCAGAGGATGTATCTGTCTCAGTCGCCTTCAATCCTTCCGGCAATTTCGATATCTCTGCCTTGGAATCTCACGACGGTACGCTGCATAGTAATTGATTCTCCATTTTGTTTATCGACTGTACACGGCGGCTGAGAATTGTGTGGTGGAAAAGGAGCAGAGTCGGATAAAGTGGAGCCACCGATGCCTCCGACGAAGGGGCGGTACGAAGTAGTGATCGACAACGAGTGTATACGGCGGCTGGACTTAACTCCGTTTCAGAGTGCGACCGGGATAACCTCGCCTTCCACAGGTAGGTAGGGCAAGGTAACAGACAATGATTGTTGAATGTTTTGACGAATGAGTGAATCAATTGGTGCGTGTAGCTGAGCCGAGAGCGTATTTGGAAAGAAGCATCGGATTCACGATCAATTACAGGAGACAAGACCCAGGGGATCCGCGAGAGCTGTCGGAGTACCCGGAGATAAGGCTGTGGTTCCTGAGGCTCGACGCCATGTACCCTTGGCTTCCTCTTCTGCTGGACTGGCGAGCCGGTGAGCTTGCCCGCTACGCCGCCATGCTCGTCCCTCACCAGATGAGCTTGAGGATGGGCGTCGTCTTCAATCCCGAGGCCTTGGAGCTCTTCGTCATGAACAAAGTGTTCGTCGTTTATCCTTGGCTCAAACGACATGCTGTCCCCAAGCCCAGGCTCAAGACCACCGACATGGCCAGGATGCTCGGCTTCGGTATCGGCGATCAGCTCTTCGACTTTCTCGACGACCAACGACCAACACCTCCGCTGACTCCCGACGCTTAATGGGCTTTTATATATGGGCTTATCAAGCTATATATTTTTTGAGAAAGAAATAATAAATGATGTTGGGTATACAGAAAATCAGCTCATTTTGACTTGGTCCATCTGATGATTGTATATGACAAAACGATTCTGTTTAGGCCTGATTAATATTTGGGCTTCATGATTATATAGTAAGAGAGTCTACGGGTTTGATATTCGACGATACGCATTGACAACAGCCTGAAGATAACAATAAAAAAATGTAAAAAATTCCAAATTCCAAAGAGCAGAGAGATTCAAAATTTGAAAAAACAAATAAGTTTGCCGGTTATTCGCATCAATACAAGATCGAACAAGGAAATAAAGGTACGGTTGTGGAGGTTGCGTTTGAGTTTCAGGAACCACTCCGTTTAGATTTTCATCTTTTTCAGTCGGAATTGGAGATGAAAGAAAGCATAACAGTGAGAGAGGAAGATAAGTCGAGATGGTGGTGGTTCGAGAGTCATAAGACCTCAAAGCACTCTCACTGGCTTCACTCAACACTCGCAGGTAAAATTCTAAATGCCTCGAAGCTTCTAAGGTGTTTAGCTCTAAATGCTATTATGAGCTAAGTATCGCGACTTGCTGGCCTTTGATTCGCAGAGCTCGATGCAAAGACAAAGGCCATGCTGAAGCTGATTGAGGGCAACGCGGACTCCTTTGCGCAGCGAGCCGAGACCTACTACAAGAAACGCCCTGAGCTCATCGCCTTTCTCCAAGATTTCTATCGAGCCCACCGCTCCTTGGCCGAGCGCTTCGATCACTTGAAATCATCTCGTTCCGCTTGTGGCAGCACTTCTCACACCAGCTCTGAGCTCGAAGATGCCGATTCGGAGATTGAAGACCCAGAAGTGGACGAAGAAAACGCCCATGAAACTTGGACATTAGAACAAGAAAGGTTGAAGCTGATTGAAGAGCGGGATGCTCTGAGGAAGCAACTGCTAGAGAAGGACGAAGAGAAGAGAGCGGTCATTAGACAGCTTGCTCGAACAGTAGAGACGCTCAAGGACGACAACTCCAGCCTCAAGAGACGTCTTGCCCACGCGTCTCTCAACAAACGCTGCTTCTGGGAGTACAAGTTCCTCCGCAACAAGATCGTTTAGTGCTCGCGTCCCCCCATGACCTTTTTTGTATATTCACCCCACTTGATTGAAGAAGATCTTGTGGTTTCTGTATTATTATAACCGAGATTACCCTCTACTTAAATGCTTGTTCTGATTCACAAGAAACGACAGTTTCAGACTGCGACATGTGAGGGATTCATAATTTGTCTGACTTATGAGGCACAAAACCCAAATCACTGTTACAAGTACAACAACTCAGCACCAGCCAAATGGCAGAGTGCTGCTTATGAGCAAATCTCAAACGAACAACAAGATCTATATATTTAAATTACAATAAAAATTAATATTCAGAAGATGCAGAGAGTTTAGAATACATTGTGAATCTTTTCCTATTCTTCGCACAGCATGTCACGAGGCCTTACTCTCTGTTTCTAAATGATGAATCTGCAGAAAGGAAGCAGCAACACGAGGAAGACAAGGAGCAGAGAGAGTGGTGACGGGACCAAATAAACAGAGGAAGAAGCAGGAAGAGGAGACCCGACGGGAGAAGAGTCAGGCAGAGGATCGGGAGACACGGCATCTGGGTTTGGTGGACTAAGGCTCGAGGGGATTGTCGGCATTGCAGAAGATTCTGACGGAGAAGGAGACATTTCACTGGAACCTGGAGTAGGGAACAGAGGAAAAGTATCTGGAGACATAGCCGGTGGAGAAGCTGAGAAACTCCAAGGAGAAGGAGCTTCAGGCAAAAACGAAGGTGCTGCTGATATGGTGGAGAGCTGAAACTGTAGGAAATCAGATGCTGAAGCGTGTAAACAGAGTGAGAGAAGGGTGAAGGCGGTGCACAGAGATACGGTCATGGTTACCATGAATAGGTCTCTCTCTCTCGGTTGCTTTGAGAATGTTTGTGAGAGACCTTTAGAGGTTAAAAAATTAAAGATGAGACTATTGAAGAAGAAAAGGTATACATACAGCTATAGAGGAGGTAAAAGACAAGATTGGTGGGTTTGGTTGTGGACCTTTTTACTAAGGGCAGAGCACATGAAAATGTAGATTTGTCGGGTTTTGATTTGTGTCGGAGTGTTTGTAAGTGATGATATTCTGAATAAATATATAAAGTAGGTAATAAAAACAAACAAGTAGAACCCCGTGAAGCTCTTCCCTTGATGTTGAAGTGAGTGCCAGCTTTAACTTGTTTTGCTTCCCTGTTTCTGCAATATCCTTAGGTTTATGGTCAGTTCAAAGGAAGCAGAGATTCTCTGATCGATTTAAGAGCAGATATTACTGCATTTCATTTCCCATCAAAATCAGACACTGAAATATATGTTAAGACTTTTTGCTCAAGATTCTTGCTATGCTTTTCCTCACTACATTCATCTGAACACAAGTAACAGCATTCTTATGGCAAATTTTCTATCAAATTCAGTCACTAGAGACCTGAAAAAAGAAGAAAGAATGAACTGATCTTGGGACAGGTCAAGACCTTGTGAATGAGTATGAAGCTGAAAGCTTTCCCATATGCTCGGGGAAGCTTTCACTAGCTTCCATCTGCGCATTTAATACGTCTGCTTCTCTGAACCTTCATGCCCAGACCAGTCCATCGAAGCCGATTTCTAGATTTGACACAGGGCTGTCTCCAAAACCTTGGTCAAGTGCCCGGGTGTCATCTATTGGATCTACATATGGCTCACGCAGATCAGCGGATCTTTCTGAGGGAATTCCGTAATCTTTGAGGATACACAAGGAAGCCGAATTCGAAGCTTCTCTCTCCAACACAGCCACATAGTTGTCTTCAAACTCAAAAACTAGATACTTGTCTTTGCACATGTCGATGAGGTGTGCCAAGTGATGGATGTTTCTGATAGGAGTTCCATTGAACTTCAAGACCTGCTGGTTGTTCATGTCTTCATAGCCGATGTTTACTTCATTTGCTAACACCTACAAATATGCTCGTCCAGTGAGTAAAAAGTTAGATTTCTATTGCATTCCCCCAAAATTCGTTATCCTCTGAGAGCTTGCCTGTGATAGGATGACGATTTGTTCTCCTCTGAACCTTGCCACCGAGTAGCGTGCCTTTGTTAACAATTTCAACTACAAATTGGAAAGAACACAAACTCAGAATGAGAATGCAAACACGGTTCTACTCGAATTTTAAATTAACATAACACAATATTTTTAAAGTGAGCTTACGCCTATGGTGTCCTCGCACTCCTCCCTTGCATACAGAAAAAAAAAAAAAACAATTAGGCATTTGCGAAATAGCGAAGAAAGTTTCGATTCCCTTTTGCATATTAGCAAGCTGAGGAGAACATACTCTATCAGGGGTTCTGAGAGCGGAGTAAACACCAAACCAGCAATTATAATGTATGATGGCTGACCTCCATCAATATGGTACGGGACCTAATTAAAAGCATGAAAGGCAATGAAGCTTTAGTAATTAGCTTATTGGGCTTGAAAAACGGAAAGCTTCAAATGGTACGTGCAGATAGTCGTACCAGGTGCACTCTTGGCCTTAGAACTACTTGAACTTTCTTAAGTTCTCCTGCTCTAATGATACCAAGCTCTGCGACATCACCTGCAAATCTGTTAAGTAAAATAAAAAGCCACATATGAGGAGAAGCAAAGGAGATCATAACACTTGTGGACAAGAAAAAGAGGTCCCTACTTTTGACTGATGAGATAACGGAATGCAATGCGTTCACTGGATCGGAAGGGTACAGTTCCTTCACATCCCACGTGTAGATCATCAAAACTTACAATCACATCTCCCTGATTCAACAATTAAACATCACGGATCAAGGATGAGAAGATTTGATTGTGGAAATTTGTTAAGAGTAAAAATCCTATGATCCATGCTCTTTACCTCCTTCAGAACTTTGCTTGCATCGGATGTAGGTTCAACTCTTCGTACCAGCACCCCCTACAAAAGTAAGGTTACGTGACCTTGAGTAGACTAAAACTGCTAGGAACGAAGAATCAATATCCTCCACACCATTATGTGGGCAGAATCTTATCCCACACAAGACAGACGACCTAGCAAAGCAAGTCTACCTCATTTGTAGGAACTTTAAGGCACTCCCGCAGAGCTGGATTTTCCAATTTCTGCAGCAATACTCCAAGGCAAGGGTAACCTGCAAGAGAAATAGCTTTGAATAAACAGAACATTACGGTCTTGCAGTGGAACATATGAACATCAGGAGAAACTCTTACCAGTGTACTTTCCGTTCCTCTCATAATCCGTCAAAAAGTGTGAAACAACTGTCGTTGGAATTACGTATCCAATATTTTCAGTCTCTTCGGATCTGTAGACCTAGAGGAAGTCTCCTGTGAGGCATACGTTTGGAAAGAGAATCCAAAACAGATATTATATCCTTGAAAATCACAAAGATTACCTGAAATGCTACTCCAATACACTCCCCCTGGTCGTTGAATGCAGGGCCGCCACTATTCCCTAAAATCTAACAAGTATAAGAAGTGGCTATCACAATAATACAGATGAATATCCTCAGAAACAATTTTGGTGAAAAGAACAAGTCACATTCAAGTTTTAGAACAAGCTGCAAGATACTAAGAGCAAAAGGAAAACAATTTATTGGAAATGATCCACTGACCTGGATTTATTGCGGCATCGATTTGAATTCCAAGCAAGTCAGATGATCCATGAGCATATGATGTTACCTGCATTCGCAAAGTTTTAACGAGCAAAAGTTCTCAAAACCTGCACGACAATATGTTGGCATAAAAGCAAAGCTAAAAATATGGGCAAACCTCTATTCGTGATACGACCCCTTTTGTTACAGAGATAGTATCTCCTCCAAGAGGATAGCCCACGACAGTTACTGAATCCTGAAAATCAAAGCCAACATGTAACTCTATGAACAACTGGTATATCCAGATAGATAATAGAACTAAAAGGCAGGGAAGAACAACTTAAGCTTTTATTTGCTATTAATGCAGGCAAAAATAATGCTGTATTATGTGTAACATTTTTATGTCTACACTTCAACAAGACTACTAACAGACTGTAATTCCTATAAAGACATGCACACCACTAAAATGGACAACATCCCCCATTCTTTGATATAATGATCCGGCGGGAAAAAAACTTGACTGTTTGTTTTTGGTATTGTCCATATGCCTCATCTGGCCCGTCAAATGTGTTCTTAAAAAAATATAACAGGAGACTGAAGTTGAGGAAAAATGAGCAAGAAATACATCATTATCTGATGAGGTGATGAAACCTGAAGGCGGGGTAAATGGCCAAGGCGTAAGGGTTCAGCTCCTTTCCAGAAATCCTCGCTTTCTACTGAAAGCAAAGCTATGTCACAGTCCACACCTCTTACTAAAACCTGTACATTATAAAATGAGAGGGAAGTTATCTGCAATTGCATAAGAAGTAGGAAGACGTTCAATGAAGCTTATCGGAGATATAAACAAAGTCGAATTTGGGAGTTGTAATTAGCATATTGACTGGTTCCATGGAGATGCTACTAAATCAAAGCAGGAGATCAAACCCACGTGCGTCTGCAAGTAATTATCATAGATGCAAAACTAACCTTAGCCACATACTTTCTATCATCTCCTCGTCTCTTAACTTTGACCTGGTCAGGAAAGATAACAAGAGGTGAAGAGAAGGAAAGATGAAAAGCAAAGGGCGAAAGCATATGAAGGAAAGTAAACCTGTGTATCATGCTCCACACAATGGGCATTTGTCAAGAGCTTGCCATCTCCTATCATGAAAGCACTGCAATGGAAACACACGATAAAGTCACGGAAGGAGCTCTTAGGGACGTAAGCGAGAAAAGTCAATCATGTAACAAGGAATTGCCTTCCAGTGCTGGTGAATTGTCTTTGTTTCTGCCATGGGAGGGAGTAGTCAGGCGCTGTATGAGTGCAGTAAACCTGAGGAACAACCACGGATTCAAAGAAGCAAGTAACTGGACAGGATAAGCAACAACTTTTAAGACTCTGACTCCAATTCCTAAATGGCGGAAACACAAAAAAAAAAAAAAAAAAATCATTTTGGGAAATAACAGATGTGCTACCTTTACAACGGCGTTGAGAAAGGATGCATCGTGAATCTTGGCAGGATCAGTCTGCTGTCGAAATGGAATTAGACCAATTATGTATGTAATGGTGAAAAAAAGAAGAAGGGAGAAGCAGAAATACCTGCTGCTCTCTGAAATCGGATTGTGACTCTTTTTTGTCTTTCTTTTGCGACCCAAACGCCTTGAACGCCATTGTTTGAGGAGCACCACCGTCCCCTTTGCCGTGTAAATTGCAAGTTTCATCTCTCACCCTGCCTTGGTATTTCTTCTGCTTCTGTAGGATGAAAGATACATGGAACTCACTCACACGCGCGAATCTACCGATATTCATTCACTGTACATTCGGGTTTTTTGGGAGTTGAATAATTATACCTCTGGGTTTAATTTGGGTGATGAATCAGACCTCGAAGATTGCCTCTTCTGATTCGAAGCTCGGGGAGTCGAGGAGGTGAGCGACTTGGGCGATGCGGCCACGAAACACAGCGTAGAAGAGACGGGATACTGAAGTCTAACGGAGGCATTGGGGAGGGAGAAGCAGCAGCTTGCTACGGAGACGGCCATGTCTAACTACCGGAGCGGCCGGCGAGTCACTGAGAAATGAGAAGAGAGACCTTTCTTATCCATTCCATTATATCCAATAATCTCGCTTCTGCTCTTTGGCGCCTCCCTGGTTTTCTCGTAAATTCGGACAACTCTCTTCCGGATACTTTTGTAATTTTACGTTTTTTTAATAACTGGATCATCATGGACCAGGACGTCCTTAATGGGCCTCCTTCTGTTTTAGTATTCTGCAAATACGTATGCAATGGGAACGTTTAAATAATGATTTGTATCTTCTTCTCCTTCGTAAAAGTGAAACAATATCTTTTTAATTTTCATTAACCTCGGCAACTTGCTCATGTGGGTCTAGTTGTTAGGTGATTAATTTTGAATGATCATATGTTTAATTGCGTAACGGGATAAGTAATTGATTAATTGTTTGTATGACAAAAGATAAAGATCAGATTTGATTAATCATTTAATTTTCCATCTAACCTTTGTCTCCTGCTTTTGATTAAAGGGGTTGCCCCAAAGTCAACAATCAAATCAAGATTTTTTGTTTGGTACATTTCTGGCTTACTCCACGCGTTGCCCAAATACCTATTTTGATACGACCATTTGTTTTCTCTCAGTAGCACCAAAAATATGACCATATTGATTGATTGCCATTTACAATTAATTTGCTTTTTCCTTCTCTCTGCAACATTTTATTTACTGGTTTTTATACACATGTGTATTTAAGCACTGTATACACATACGTGTTTAATATATTTCGACTCATGAATCTATTTTGAGTCAGTAAATTGTATTTCCCGAGACGACAAAGGTCTAGTGGCACTTGGACTTGTGTTTGAATTTTGGGATTATAAATGCTTGGTCTTTCTAGAAGACTTGAAAACCGGGGGAAACAAAAATATTGATATGTGTTGTATTTTCAAATTTGGCAATTGCTTTTGTTTTGTGTAAAGTGTATATCGTAAGTTTTGTGAAAGAAGGCACGTTGCTATATACTTTTTCTTTTTCTTTTATAAACCGTCCTTCTAGAAGCCCAACCCCACATACTCGCACGTCATTATTTTGCATACAAACTCCCGTCTCCTGAAACCAATGAATCACGATTACAAAAAGCGCTCGTAAAATAAAATAAAAATAAAACATTGAGAGTCGTCAACTATTATGGCCACATTCTGCTTGCGTATATATGGATCATGGATGTATATATATTACTATAATTCGTAGCTGCTGGTGTCTACTTTCATCATAATTGTCTACTATAAACATATAGAAAAAAACATTAATATGAACACAACCAAGAACGTGTTTGACGTGTCACCGTTCTTGCTCTTAGAAGCATCTGCAGATTCCGAGACCTATCGCGATGACGGAGGCGCCGCTCAGATCGGCGAATGCACTGTTAACGATTACAAAGACGGCGATGATATTGAGTCTTGTTCGTACGAGACGTCTTGTGTGACATGGACGAGTCACAGACCGAGCGTGTCAGGCTTTGACACGGAGGATACGGTGAAGGAAGAAAGAATACTCGCCGCTGGAGAGGAAGAAGACGATGACGGAGAAGGAGAGGTGAATAGCTACAGAAGACGCGGGAGAAGCCAGCGTGAAAATCTGGCCGTTGATTCTGGTGCGGTTGTGAGTGAGATGGATAAGAGTCGAATGTTCTGGGAAGCTTGCCTCGCTTCTTGATCTGTCTTTCTTGTCTCACCCAAATTAAGAGAAAAACCTTTTGGTTTTTCCTTTTAATGTCTACCTATCAATTGTATCTACCCATCAATTATTATGTCCATAGATTTCACCTTCGAATTGTAGAAAAAAACTACAAACCAAAGCGGACCGCGTTCACTTTTTGTTTGGTTTTCACCTGTGTCCAAAACATCCAACAACATCTAACTAAAGTTAAGACCAAAGTTATTATCTATCGAAAGCAGTAGGTGTGAGTATCATATGGAATTATTGACGCTCTCTAGCTGGTAAAATGATAAATGGAACCGATAAAATAAGAGGGGCCGGATAATAATAAGAATGTACCGCTCATACGTCTCCGAATTACGAACGGGGTTTTCCTCTGGAAATTTGTTATATTTTATTTTGTTTCTGGATAAAAAAAAAAAAGATGAATACATGTTATTCGGTGAGAAGATAGTGGGATCTTGAGCATATTTTTGTTGTCTAGCTACTTGCACCCTTTGTTTATCCTGTAATATACTAGCTAGACTCTAGAAAGGGAAAATAATTGATTAGGAAAACGGCAGTGCAACCATCAGCTAAACCACGAGAGCGCATGACGTTTCTTTTTATTCGTCAGGATAAAGTGGTCCGAGGGACTGGTGTAAAGAAAATCTGATCCGGGTCGGGTGTTTTGTTATATAAAATTACTATAATATCTCACATATAATTTCATTGATTATCAGTGGTTTCTTCGTTAAAGATGTTATATTAAAGTTACTAATGGCAATCCTAAAATGATAGTTTCAGTTAGAAGCCAACGTTTCTTTGATTAGTAAATCAACATCGATTCCCAAATCAAATAGAAAATAAATAAATAAAGATTCCATAACTAACAAAGCTACAAAGCAAGAACAAAGGGGAGAAAAGCCTGGTGGTTTACTATATATATATATATATATATATATATCTTCTTCTTTATTGACCGATAAAGTTAGGGAATTCTTGTATTTTATCTGATAGTGTTATGCTTTTAGATGTTTTTAAATTACTGGTGTACGTTGATATTGGACTCACCACCAACAAGTGCTATGCTTGTCGTTTTTATCTTTTGTTGTCTTTACAAAAAAATAAAAAAAACTTAGAGTATCTCGATACAAAAATCTTACCATTGAAAGAAGAAAAATAAAAATAAATTTATAATAAAACAAAGAAATGAGGGAATGAGAGATTTGTTTGAAAAACTTTCCAAACACTTATTTTCAGATAGATGACTCAGTTTGTTTTATAGAGAATTTAATTAAACAATTAAAAATAGAGATTAGTATGTAACTGTGAGATACGCTTTTAAAATTTTCACCATTGCTGATCACTTTTTCACCCTTACTCAAGGAAGTTCGGTCTAGGTAGATGGGTGTTTAGGAGGATTTAACACTAAATCACCCAATAATTAAAATGTCGCCGACAAAGAAAAATCATAAGGCCTTAAATGCAGTATTCGCTCCCATGGGCCAATGATTAGGCCCAATAAAGAAGCTAAAAGCGACCCATTAGATTTTAAACATATTTAGTGTCCTCTGGTCCAGGGAAAAAGGGTAAAAAAGGAAGAGAGCGAAAAAATGAGCGCGACGCAGGGACCGCACTCGCTCGCCTTCAGGGTGATGCGACTGTGCAAACCGTCTTTCCACGTCGATCCTCCCCTCCGCATCGACCCTTTCGATCTTCTCGCCGGCGAGGACTATTCCGACGATCCCACATCCGCCTCCTTGTTCCGCCGCCTCGTGTCTTCTGCCGACGCCGCCGACTCCGATCTTACTTACCGCAACAGATTCCTCATTAACCATCCTACCGATCCCATCGGTCTCTCTGGTCTTCTCCTTCTTCCTCAGTCTTTCGGGTTCGCTCTCTCTCATCTCTCCTGCCGCTTATGTTCCCCGATTACAGTCGATATCAGCTGTTTGATTGGGATTTGTTGCGCAGAGCGATCTATCTCGGAGAAACATTCTGTAGCTACATTAGCGTCAACAATAGCTCCAGTTCCGAAGTTCGGGATGTTACCATCAAGGTTCGTCTCCTACATTTTGCCCTTTTCCGTATCTGTTTATTTCAAACATTGCTCTTATTTCACCTGTTACCTTGATCTTTTGTACATACTGTATGTGTCATCTGCTTCTTCTTGGATCTCGGATTAAAAATGACAAAACCAGGGTGATGCAAATCTTATTGTAGGCAGAAATTCAGACAGAGAGGCAGAGGATTCTACTTCTGGATACATCCAAGTCACCTGTTGAATCGATACGGACAGAGGGACGCTATGACTTCATAGTGGAGCATGATGTTAAAGAGCTTGGAGCTCACACGTGGGTTTACTGTGACTTTCTTATGCATCTCTTTGTTATTCTTGCCATTTTAAATTGCTCCTTGACCGCCATCCCTCTCTTAGGTTGGTTTGCTCCGCATTGTACAATGATGCTGATGGCGAGCGTAAATATCTTCCCCAGTTTTTCAAGTTTGTCGTCGCAAACCCGCTCTCAGTGAGGACCAAGGTGACATACATTTGCGTATTTTGCTTGTCCCTCGTCTGACTCCTCTCTCCAGGCTTGTCTAATTGTTGCGCCTTCTGATATGCAGGTTCGAGCTGTAAAGGTAGGTTCGACAATGTTCATTCTGTGACTGGTTCGAAGAAGCTTTTGTTTTTCCTCTACTTGTTAATATGGTGTTTTACATGGATCATAGACTTGAGGTTTGTGAATATCGTGATGATCATTATAGTGCTGTGTTGTTCAATCCGGATTCCCTCTAGCTGATTCATTATTCGTCAATGATCCCCTGCAAATTAAAAAGTCCGTTATGCAAATTGAACCACCTCTGTTCTGGTCCCCAGTAATCATATAGTCGTCATCCAGGATATCTTGAAAAAGCTTTACAGTGAGACTTAACATGAGCGTTGGTAGCTTCATTGTTCCCATCCGTATTTCCTGTATCTGTAGTTGAACCTGTATTTGTTTGTACAATATAAATACGAGCTCATGTGTTGTTGATGTTTGGGCAATCGTTGTATCATTTACACCAGGAGACGACGTTTCTAGAGGCTTGCATTGAGAACCATACAAAAGCAAACCTCTTTATGGACCAAGTTGATTTTGAACCTGCCAAGCAATGGAGTGCTGTGAGATTACAAAATGAAGACCACCATTCCACAGAAGTTGCCCCAACCAGGTCTGTCTAAATAGGTATCATAGTTACTTACTCTATCAGATTGTCTTAATTTGCTGATCCGTCTCTGTCCGTGTCAGTAATCTCGATGAACTGATACTTAATCCGCCAGTTATAATCCG